ATAGATGTTAAAAAGAAAAACAAAAAAATTTATCCTGTTAATGACTGTTTCCCTAAGTAACCAAAACCTAAGGCATAAGAAATCACCTGGACACAGCAAGTCTTTGCTTCCTGGGCCAGCTTCCAAAGGGTCAAGAAAAGCCCTGTGTGGCGGTTGCTCCTGATGGGAGGCCCATCACACCACGAGGAATCCAGCTGACGGGCCCAGTCAGTGTGATTAGCCGTGCAGAGGCGTCCAGGGGCAGAGGCAGGCCTCATGCTGAAGGAGCTGTGTGCAGGGACAGCAGCCTCTGGGGAACAGAAGCAGCACCTGAGACTTTCTGTTTTCATGGAGCACTTCAGATACATCAAGAAGAGCCTTGAGTGGAAAATCCCATTGTTCTAGGCCTAGACGASCATTTCGGGTCAGGCCACAGAGCAGGGTCAGGCCACAGAGGCAGGCAGCTTGCGGGGCTGACTGGAGTCCTCGGAGCGCCCCAGTTCTATGGAAGCCAGGGAGGAGAAGCTGCCGGGCAGACCACAGCGCCAGGGTCAAAAGCTGTAAGTTCTGACTGCGAGCAGATGACTATTTCAAGAAAAACGTGCTGCTTTAGAGATGCAGAATTGTTAGATTCTGGTCTTACATCAGTGTGTTTATGCTCGGTTTTTGGAAAAACTTACACATGGCTTTCTTTGAATTCTAGCCAACTTGGTCCCACARAGATCCCCTAAGATTGGCTCTTCACAGACCTTCCACGACCTGCCTTTAATGAACTGCTTCATTGTATCCTGTCCTGCCTTTGTACTCCCTTCCTCTGGAACAATCCAGTGCTACTTAAGGGACAAAAATCTTATCCTGTCTCACAAATTCTTCCTCATACACCTAACATTCCATTTCTTGTCACTTTCCTTACCTTTTTCTTCGTAARTTCTCATCTTCTACTTCCTAGTTCCTTTCTACCTTGTTCTTATTTCCTTTCTAAAATTTATATTTTGGAACAATCCTTTAAAATATCTCCAGATTTAGATAAAAAATTACTCCTTATAAAAAATGTATATTTTTTTGTAGTTTTATTGAAAACATCTTAATTTCCTCATTTTTTTTGCATATAGAATTCCATATATTAATTAGAATTTTCAAGTCCTAGTGACCTTAATCTCTAAAGAATCTCAGGAGGACAGCTGTCTTTAATGGCTCGCCATAGGTGAATGGCTTATGAGAACATGCTTTATCATTTCTGGAAACACTGGCTTTGTCCTAGAAAAAAAATTTTTAAATGTGGAATAGGACCTTCTTATAAATAGATACAAATGCATAAATTATTTTTATATGGATTTTAAGAAACCAAAGTTGAATTTACATTTAGCAGTTGATGTTTCTATTATTTTAGCTTACTTAGAAATGACTCAGATGTTTTGTAAATATGTTACTCAATTTAATATTAAGACTTACATGAAATTTCATTTATAAACATTAAACCAATTATATTCACCTAATTTATTTTTTAATAATTATACCTAGATTACTCATAAAACCTACATTATTAGACAAACACAGTCATTATTTCCTCGTTAAAACAATAACAAGTCGCCCCCCTGACAGACAGGATGCGCGGGCTCTGCCTGGCACTTCCCTCTGCATGTTGGTTCTCAGTCAGACGTGGACTCCAAGGATCCTGAGCATCTGACGGATCAGCAGACCCTGCCTGCCAGCAGCCAGACAGGAGCGAGCCCATGGTTCTGAGGATACCCTCATTTTTATTTACCAGCAAACTTTAAACCAACTTGTATTTGAAAGGTTGACTGGTCCTGTGGAGCAGAAGACATCGGGTTCATTCCTCCAGCAGTCTGAATTCATGTGAGCCACCTGGCTGGAATTCCTCCAGGATTTCACCATGCAGAAACCACGGGCCGCTTGCACATGTGTGGAGCAAGAGCATACAGGAGCAAGAGCTTGTCCTCCCAGTTTAGAATTTGAGTCATGACAGGAAAATACAGTAAATATATAAGTATAAAGTATTATAAATATATAAGTGGAAAATATAAAAATATAGTAAACTCACCACTTTGTGAAAAGACATTTGAATCAATTATATTTCTAACAAACTGGGACAGGTGAAGGTCACCCGCTCAATGGCTAAAGGAGTTTCTGTTGGCCAGGAAGGCGCAGGCCAGATCTTGGTAACAGAGTCCCCAGGGCAGCATGGTTTTAGAAAGGTCCTCCCTTTTCTCTGGTCAGCTTTTGTTTAGAGGGGGACACTCGGGTGCTGACGCTTGGCTTGGGGTRGCTGCAGTAACAACCTCCAGGCAGCCTTAAATGGAGGGACACCTCCTCTTGCTGGCCAGTCTGCTCTGCTGGACTGCTGGAAGCCAGTGAGAAGAATTTTTAAAAAATTGTTCTTAGAAGATTATTTGTAACTTTTTGTTTTTTTCCTGGCTGGTGTGGTAGACAAAACAATTCTTATGCTGGACACAGCTCAAGGTGTTGACCAAGTCATTAGGTTGGTTTAAAAAGGGCAGAACTTTTCCTAAACCATCATCAGCCACATTTTCATTTCAAAAAGGAATGGTTTTTAGTGTGTGGGTTGCCACAGAGCTGCCACAAATGACAAGACCATTGATTTGAAGATTTGTTTTGTTTTAGTTTTGTCTTGCTAWCTCAGCTGAAATATTCTGAGAAAACTGCTAAGCAGGCTTTGTCCTGGCTTCATTTCAGTTGTCTTCATCGTAATATAAGTGAGAAAGTCGGCAGATTCAAAATAGGCGAAGCTAAGATGCAGAGGTCAAAGCCTCCCGGGGTGTGGAGCTTGCATCTGCAGTTCAGCAGTGGATGAAAACAAACCCCATGCTGAGAATGTATCCTAAGGTAGCTGGCTGGGTCCCCGGGGGCACCTTCTTTGCACCTTAGTCCCCTTTTGTTTCCTACCAGTCTCCAAGAGCAGAGGAAACCCTGGGAGCCCTATCAAAGAAGGCCGCCCATGTGGGGCGGGGGCTCTTGTTTAACTCACCAGGCAGAGTGCCTGGACCTGAGGCTGCTGTGCCCTGGTCCGGAGACTGGTAGGCACTCTGGTGGCCATCAGGGCTGTCTGTGACAGGTAGACTTCCTGCTGAGACTTTCTTTGTCTTGGGTGAAGRTGGTGACAGCCATCCTTGTGGCTTTTAAGTGGCAGTCCTGGGCCCTCCATTTAAATTGTTGTTTTTGCTCCCAGAAAGTTTTCAGTGGCTCAGCGGTAGAGCGCTCGCCTAGCACATCGAGGCCCTGGGTTCCATCCTCAGCACCACTTAAAAATAAATGAGTAAATACATGCGTACATTAAAAAAAAGTTTTCAGAAACTGGAAAAGAGGAGAGTCATGTTATTTAGAGACACACGAGGCCAGGCCCAGGTAAGCCAGAATATAGGTGCTCACAGGAAATTTCAAACTCGGCCTGCAGATAAAGAAAACAGTGCACTTGGTGTGCAGCACAGAGAGAATTAACAGAAGAAATGTGAAGTCCTCGCAGTGTGAGGTCTGTGGAAATGTGCTCACCCGACAGTGTTCCCTCAGGGGGGGCTCTCCAGAAGAGACGACCCTCTGGAGCCCGCAGAGGGTGCTCCAATCCCGATCCACAGGGAGCTGCCACCAGGACGAGGGCCTGCTGAGAGAGGCTTAGCAGGCAGGAGGGCGGGGGGCTGCCTGCTGGCTCCCCAGTCCCCTCCTGGACACCAGAACTGTCCCCCGAGCATGAGGGTGATCTGGGAGTGACAGGCACTGCAGTGGGACACGCATGCCCTGCTGGGCTACGGGCACACCAAGGAGGCTGGGCCGAGGGGACATTCCCAGGCCCCCTTTGTTCTATTTAGGTATTGATAACCCAGGAGCACGCCGCCGGCATCTTGAAGCAGTGGTCCTCAGTCCCCAGGGTGGAGGAGCCTGCAGAGTCCTGGCAGCTGAGCTCTTTGTGGGAGGTTGCATGGCCCCTGGTCTGGCGGCCTGCAGGGTCCTGCGGTAGTGCTCTCAGGTACATGTGAGAGCCCTTCCTTGGCAGCCTCAGGGACTGGACTTGATTGTTTTTTGTTAGGGTTGCACAAGTGACCCCATTTTGATCCTGTCAGCTTTCACAGATACTTTGAAGTTACTGGCACTGCTAGTCAGTACAGGTGCCTTCAACTCCCGAACACCTCATTTTGAGCCTGTGTATGAGAATGAGCCGTTCTCTTGAGGGGCTCAGGCCTCTTCCATCTTGTTTTGCCATGATTAGCTTCTCCTCCTCATGGTCCACTATGGCTGTACTAGCTCCAGCCCTCACACCTGCTAGTGGGAAGATATCCTAGGTGAAGAACATACCCCTATCTTTCAAGGATACAGTACTTACTGCAGGTTGTCTGTCATTTCYATTTATGTCCCATTGATCAGGACCTAGTCACATGACCACACTTCCTGCAAAGGATGTGAAGAGTCCCTGTTTTCATTGTGTGCCCAGCTAAAATCCGAATGTGAGGAGGAGAGTGCTGATGAACAGCAGCCAGCAGCCTCCCTCAGGCTGGTGCATAGGGGACATGAAAGAGACCAAGCAGAGAGGTCGCTCAGGCTAACTCAGGAAGGGTTTGTGACCCCAGGTTCAGTCTCAGTGCCGAGGGGTTTCGGCAGGGATTAAGCTGACTTCCAGAAGATCCCCCCTGGGCGAGGGCAGGGCCCAGGAAATGGCAAAGGCTACCATCACCTGCCTGAGCCGAGGCCGCAGTGGCAGGAACCCTTTTCCTCTGACCCGCTGTTTCCCGCAACTGTGCCACAGCACATAGATGGTGTGACATGTTATTATCCCAGCCATGCCCCAGCTCAGGAAAATTAAGGTATATAGGGCCTTGCTGGGCTTGCCTGGCCTCCACCCACGTTTCTACCAGGGCAGGGAGTCGTGGCCTGGCAGAGGCGGCGGGCTGARCCGCCCTCAGAGTCCTGTTCCTGTCTGGTAGAGGGTGAAGCCCGAGGAGGCTGGTTCTCCTCTGCACCGTTGGCAGGTGAAGGCCCTTGCATTGGCTGAGGYTGGTGTAGAGGAAAGTGCCCTCACGTGACCCCACTGCTGGCAGTTTCCCTGTGTGACTCATCTGACCCTCGGTCCACCATCCTAGTGCCATCTGTGCTACAGGTTGAGAAATTAGAGCTAGGTGGAGGAGAACTGCCTGTTGGCAAGGACCCTCGTGTGGTGGCTTCCCAGCTGGTCATTCTGACTCTTGTGCACTCTTCTCTGGTCGTAGGAGGCTCCACAGACAGCAGGACGCCGAGGTCCTCCCAGGTACAGCGGCTGCAGTCATGCATCTCTACTGGCAGGTACTGGCCTCGYTCTGCTTCTTTTTCTTATATGTGTGTGGCCGGGGCTCACAGTGCGGCTGCCCCACGGCCATGTCAGCATCACAGCAGACGTGGAGTGCAGGCTGACCCGCCAATCTCCCGCTGGATGGGACTGCTTCTGTGCAGTGTGATGTGGCGGTTCCCAGCTCTGGGCTGGAGGGGTTGTTGTGCTGAGCAACAGGATCCCCTTCTGATTTGGTGGGGCTGGGTGTTGTAAAGGCTCCCAGGTGACTCCTTTGTGCCACAGTTAAAGGCCACCAGCATGGTACAGCTATTCAAGGCTCAGGGTTTGGAACCTGGTGCAAGCCACTGAATGTTCCTGACCACACTTTCTCACTGGCTGGAGGACGGTCCAGCCAACCCAGCCAGTCCTGCAGACTAGGCACACAGAGGGCAGGATACCTGGCCCTCAGGAGTTGCAAACATAGCCCCGCCCCAGCTGCCTTCTGTTGCTCCCGTTGCTGTCACTCGCTGAAGCTGGGTGCTGGCACGACTCCTGAGTGCTCTGGTGGAGTGGAGACCCCACACCCAAGCTTCTCAGCCCTGCCTACAGCTCACCATCTCTTCCTGGGATGGGGGTGGGGGCACCGTAAGGCTGCAGCCCACTGGGTTTGTGCCCCCGGGGACATGATGCTGGCGTCTGCCTGTGGCCAGGGCGGGGACTCTGCTCTGGACTTCGAAGGCTGGGCTGGGCAGAGTAGGCCCTGGGCTAGGATACACAAGAAGGGCACTTCTGGCTCTGCCATGGACCAGCCTGGCTGTCCGCAAATCCCTTGATGATCTGCACTCTGCGGGGTAGACAGATGATTTCCCTGTAGCAGAGGCTGTGCTGCACCCTCCCACCCGCAGAGCGCAAGAGCAAGCACAGAGGCCAGCAGCCACCCTGGGGTGGGAGGAGAGCCTTGCCTCCTGAGCTTGCCTCCAGGATGCGTCTGTTGGCACTTGTTCCTGTCCTCAGGAGTCCCTGGTAGAGCTGGCAATGGCAGCAGCGGAGGGCAGGGGGGCTGCTCCAGAACCTGGCAGAGGGCAGGAGCTTGGCTTGAGAGCCACCCTGACCAGCCGAATGTGTCTGCCTCTAGACTATGTGTGTTATAGGGATGGAGCCCAAGGCCTTGCACTGCTAGGCAGCCACCTACCTACATCCCCAGCTTTTTTTTTTTTTTTAATATTTATTTCCTAGGTGTAGATGGACACAACACAATGCCTTTATTTTTATGTGGTACTGAGGATTGAACCCAGGTCCCGACTGTGCTAGGCGAGCGCTCTACTGCTGAGCCACAATCCCAGCCCCATCCCCAGCTCTTTTTAATTTTTGTTTTGAGACAAGTCCTTGCTAAGTTGCCCAGGCTGGCCTTGAACTTGTGTTCCTCCTTCCTCAGCCTTTGGAATCACTGGGATTACAGGCATGAGCCACTATGCCTGGCTTTAGACTCTTTGAAGAGTATAAACATTGTCTTTAATGGATGATAGAACTAATAGATGAAGTCTCCCCACACTCCAGGGACATTGGTAGTATGTCCTGGCGTTGTTTTAAAATAATGTCTTACACTTTTGGGGCTACTATAACAAAAATACCACAGTCTGAGGGACTTTAACAATAGGAAGTTATTGTTCATTGTTCTGGAGGCTGGAAACTCTAAGTCAAGGCCCCAGCAGACGTGGGGTCTGGTGAGAGCTTGCTTGGCTGTGGCACTCCCCCCCGCCAGGTCTGCTGGTGGGAGGGTGGCCTCCTTCATGGGAACATTGATTCCGCTCACAAGGGCTGCTCCCACTGGCCCGTCACTCCCCAAGGCTCATCTGCTAGTGCTGCCACTTGAGCTAGGGTTTCAACATAGGAATTTGTGGTAGGCACATACCTTCAGACCACAGCCAGTAACAATCGACTCAGCCAGAGGACCAACCAGTAGTTAGTGGGTTATCAGAGTGCAGAKACTGGCAAGGATATGAGATGGCATAGAACCAAGCACCAGTTCTCTGATTCTACTCCCCGCGTGCCCCTGTGACTGTGGCACGCAGTGAGACCTGCCTGTCGTTCACCTGTGTGGCCAGGCTCCAGTGAGTCTGAACTTCCTGTGGAGACGATCCAAGCTGTCAAAAGTGAACTTCCTGTGGAGACGATCCAAGCTGTCAAAAGTGACTGGGACTGTGGCTCAGTGGGACAGCGCTCACCTAGCATGCCTGAGGCACTGGGTTTGATCCTCAGCACCACATATAAATAAAGAAAACAAAGGTATTGTATCCATCTACAACTAAAAAATATATTTAAAAAAAAAAGTGACCGCTGAGATTCWTTTGACTTCCCATGTGTTTTCCTACCCCTGTGAAGTACAGCCACATCTGATGAGATTCTCTCTTCCTTGCCTGTGGGTGGGGGGAGCTCTACCCACCAGAGGTCTCGTGGTGGGCTGGCAGCAGYTTGGGGTCTTGCGCCTGTTGAAACCATGGATTTGCTCTGCGTCAGCACGMTGGCTCATTGGATTCCAGTTTGTCGAGGCCCTCTCTGCTCAGGGCTCTTCTTTGTCTTCACCAGGGCCATTGCTCACAGCACTCCTGCGAGACGCTCATCAGGGCCAACTTCACAAAGCCTGTTGAGCAGCAGAGGGACGCCCACGAGTGCGCGACGGGTGTCAGCACTGCCCACACCTGGCGGCTGGCGCCTCTCTGGCCTTCCTCTGATGACTCCCAARACCTTGCCCCGAGCTCTGGCTTCCCCGCTCTGTGCACCTGCTCAGAGACTCTCTTCTGAGCCTCAGAGGAGATCTGCAGTGAGGTGAGACAGGTGACAAGCAAGGTCGTCTCTAGTGCCCCAGACCTCAAGACTGTCCCCATGCCAGGGAGGGTGTGGTCACGCAGGAAGCAGTCTAGAAGAAGATGGGCTGCCCCAAAAAGAGGAGAGCCCAGTGCTTWAGTGACTTTAGAGTATAGGAAACTTGTCCTCTGAGTGTGCATAGGAAAGAAGACACAGTGTGCTCATTCCTCAGTTCCCCCAGACAATTCAGCTTCAGATTTGAATCAGGTAGGGGGGCTGCTGGCCCAGTGCACCCAGCCTGGTGCTGGGGCCACTGTCTAGTGGAGGCACAAAGAGACGTGTCCAGTGGCGGGGCCTGTTACAGGGTGGAAGCCCTGTGCMTGGCTGGGACCCAGCTGGGGAACGCAGTACAAGAGGGTGTCTGCGCCAGTGGAGCAGGCAGCAGCCCTCCTGAGCCTGAGGGACTGGTTCTAGGAACAGGGAGGTCACCTTGGCTGCCTCTTGGGGACGGGCARAACCCCTGCATGCAGCCTTCACTTCTGAAAGAGACAGACTAGGCACCAGGTGAAGTCAACAAATACAATGTTCCAGCTGAAAGGAACCTTGGAAATCCCCAGTCTTCTACGCAGGAAATGGGGTCTGAAGGGGCAGCTGTCCCCACGGTAGGTGGCTTTCTCTGACAAGCTGGCACCAGGGCCAGCAGCTCCCCAACGCAGGACACTCCTCCAGAAACAGTCTGCCTCCAGATCTAGCCAGGTGAGTGAGCACTCTAGAGAAATCCAGCCTGTTTTCCTCTGCTCCCACAGGACTGAGCCGAGGGGAGCGAGCAGCGGCAGGGCTGGTGGCAGGCTGGCTGGCCTGTCACCCAGTGGCAGCCCCTCTCCTCCACCCTCTGTGCCTCAGGCACTTCATTTTTCTCCGGAGAAGAATGAGTCTCCTTTCTCAGGAGACTTCACAGGAGCAGCACAGGTTGAGGCCAAGCCGGGGGAAGACACCTGCCCTGGGGAGGTATGCAGATGCAGTGTGGTTGACCCGGAGGGTCACAGGGCCACTCTGGAGGCCTCTCCCCCAAGGACAGAGTCCTGCAGTTCATCCTGTCACCTGGCCTCAGGTTCCAGTGGCCCCCAGAGGGGTGGTCAGAACCTCAGGGCTGTAAAGGGGAGAAAAGCAACACCTCTCACCTGTGTTTGGCCGTGGAGCTCTCAGAGCCAAAGGACGGGAAGTGGGAGCAGGGCAGTCCTCTGTGTGACGTGGGTGGGCTGGTGCGCCCTGCTGAGGCAGGCCCAGCCTCTTTCTTTGGCTCCAGCTGTGGACCCTTGGGGCATGAGCAGGGCAGAACAGTGCTGGACCACCTTCCGTCTGTCCTGCCTAGGCTCTTCTGATAGACATCGGGCTGGGTCAACTCACCATCACTCCTCAAGTGGGAAGCAGGCCCCCGGCAGACCTCCCTCTCATCGACTTCTGCAGCCCTCCTGAAGCAGATGTGGCTTTGGGATCTGCAAGCAGACCCCTGATCGACCTCACCACGAACACTCCAGATGTGAACAGAAACTGTGTGTCAAAAAACAGTGTGTCAAAACCTTTGCAGGCCGAGGGACAGGTGAGAAGTGGCAGGTGATTCCTGCTGGCTTCAGCCTGGTTGGGTTCCTCGCCCCAGGGCATGGCATGGTGGCCCTGAGGCTTCTTGCTTGGCCTGAGCTTCTTGAAGTTCACCCTCTGACGCTGAGTGGTGAACCCCTGCCAGGCCTTGGGGGCAGGGGTCATGTCCCCAACTCCACACCCTCCTGGTGCACAGAGCTGGGAAGGAGCATGAGTGTGTGAGGGCCTGGGGTCAGTGTGTGTTGGCTTAGATGTGATGGTCGAGGTTTCCTTTAAGTGGACCTGGACCGGGTGATCCAGGGGGCTGAGTTGTTGGCCTGCCCAGGGCAGCTCTGCTCACCTTGTTGTCTCTGCCCTTCCAGCTGATCGACCTGGGCTCCCCTCTGGTCCAGCTGAGCCCTGAGGCTGACAAGGAGAATGTGGACTCACCGCTTCTCAAGTTCTGATACAGCAAGGTCCTTGCCTTTAGTCTTTGTTGAAAGAACAGTCGTGAAGTGGCTTTTGAAACCAGTTTTAGAAGAAATTGCATTTGACTTAAGACAATTTTTTTAAAACCCAAAGTACACTCACTGCAGCGGGCAGGGTAAGGGGCCAGGGCTGTGGACTGTGGCCTGGGTCTCTTCCACAGCTCCCTCCTCCCTGTTCCCACTAGACTATGGTATAACATCTGAATTAAGGATTTTTATTGAACTTTTTTTGTAAAATAGCAAGCCACTATTTTAAAAGTCAAAAGTTTGTATGAAAAATTATATGTATTAAAGGTTACCTTGATTTTCAAATGTGTAGCTATTTCATTACTCCAGTCACTGTAAAATCTGGATTGTCCAGACTTTAATGCTTTTATAAAAGAAATCTACAAAATTTATTGTGAATAAAAATTGGTATAAATGCAGAGCCAGCCTCCTCTTCACAGGCGTCTGKTCTGGACAGACCTGGGAACCTGCGTTGTTAGTGGGCACCTGAATGTGAAGGCAATGGACCYTGCTGGCTGAGGCCTCCAGGCCGGGTGCTGGGGCAGACCCCCAGCCTGCTCTTACCAAGGGCACCAGGGCACCTGAGCTCCACGCTGCAGCTCCTGGAAGCCCCAGCACCGTGTGTCCCCTCAGGCTGCTGCTGCTGACRGCCCACCCTTTTCCTGCGCGGTTCCACGGACAAGGACTGCAGGTTCCCTCCATCTGATGGCCTCACTGGCTCTCCTGATGACTAGCTGAAGTCACTGATTTGTGTACATCTAGTTCCATGAAGATTTTGCCTAGTGGCTGCACAGCTGACAGAAAGTGAGTAACAGGCCACCCCAGTGTCCCCCGGTCAGCCTCAGCCTCAGCCTCAGCCTCGGCCCCAGAGAAGGCACTAGACATCAGTTGAAGACTAAGCACTAGGCACTCAGGGAGGTGCCAAGGGCTTCAGCTTCAGGAGGTCCAACTCCTGAGATCTTTATTTCACTAATTTTGTGGAACACAAGTCTCATTTCCATCTCTGAAATCCACATACCACACACTGCTGTCCCCAGGTAGCACATGGGGTACTGCTACAGTACAAAGTAGCGAATATACTGTGTGACTGCAGAGGCTCAAGGGCATCACATTTCTGCAGCCCTGTGCGTTGGCTGCAGCATGCTGAAGCTGAAAGCCCTTTTGGCTTAGGCAGAAAAACTGGGAGTTGCCTACCATTAACTTACCAAGCTGCCACTCCCAATAAGGGGTGTCCTGGTCCTCTAGACAGAGACCAAACTAAGGATGCCAGCACGACCACGGCCTCACTCGGTGCCCCTCAGTCTGTCCAAGGTCAGGGTCAGATAATGGCTTTCCGCATCCCTGGGAAGAGCAGGATCAAACTGCTGCCCATGTGACCCAGGTTTTTGTTTTCCCTCCTGTCTTGTGCTCACCCTGCACCTCCTGGCACCTCCTGGCACCTGTGGCTATGACTCTTCAGACTCTTCTTGGGAATGGGTTTTCAGAACCTCCCTCACCTACCCCCATCCCTAAAACTATTCTCTCAGGAAAGCTATCAACTCTAGTTAGTAAGAAGCCACATTTAAGCATTTGTGTCCTTTACTGGGCTTTTAAGAAAAACAGAATTTCATTGCCAACTTTTGGTATGTTTGTTATTGATCAGATGTAACAGGATTGTYGTTGCTGGGCACAGTGGCTCACATCTATAATCTAGCAACTGGGGAAGCTGAGGCAGGAGRATCAGAAACTCCGTGCCAGACTTATCACGACTATCTCAAAAAAGAAGAAAAAGGGCTGGGGCTGTTGAGCACCCGAGTTTAACCCCCAGCACCAACACAAAACAGAAAAGAAAACAAAAACCCCAAACAAAGACCGATGTGCATTATCTCCCCTGCATTTGCGTAACCACGGTTCAAATCCTATACAAATCAATTTAGTGGCTTACACAAGCAATTCTTTTCTTGGGGGCCGCGGGTACCAGGGTGCCAGGATTGAACTCAAGGGCACCACTGAGCCACTTCCCTAGTCTTTTTTTTTTTTTTTTTTTTGGTAAGCACTGAGTTGCTTAGTGCCTCGCTTTTGCAGAGGCTGGCTTTTAACTCGCAATCCTCCTGCCTCAGCTTCTGGAGCTACTGGAATTAGAGGGATGCGCCACCGCGCCCGGTTTACACTAGCAATTCTTAGAAAATAAAATCACAGTACCTGACATTCTAAGGCATTCTGAGAAGCCTTCTTTACCCTGAGTTGTCCGCGTAGTATCTGTGTGTTCTTGGCCTCCGTGTGAAGTGTCAATGTGGACTGAGGCTGGAAAAGCGGAGTCRCTGTGTCAGGAGTAGCCTCTGACGTCAAACCCGATCCCAGCTGAGCGCCGTGCCATGGGCATTGGAGCTCCGCGGGGCAGCTCCTGGAAGCCCCAGCACCGCGTGCCCCCGCAGGCGGCTGCGACTGCAGAGGACGRTCCACCCTTTCACCTGCGCGGTTCCACGGGAAGGACTGCAGGTTCCCTCCACCKGCAAGGGCTCACTAGCTCGCCTGGCCCCGTCCATGGCCTCCTTCCTGGCTTGCGGGCGCCCACAAGGCAGCGCGAGCGCCTCCCGAGGACCGCGCCGCTCGCAACGAACTCCAGGTCCTCAGGGTCAGTGCGGCGCACCAAGACGCCCGGCGCGGAGCCGCGGAAGGGCGGAACGCCAGGCGCAGAGCGCGCGTTTCCGGGCGGGCCGCGAACGCCAACGCCAACGCAGTGGCCTGTGGCGGCTTCCGGCGCGGCGGCTGCCCGGGCAGCGGGCGGCAGTTGGGTGACGGGCTGATGCTGGCGGCGCGGCACGTCGTGTGCGCCCTGTCCGGCGGCGTGGACAGCGCAGTGGCCGCGCTGCTGCTGAGGCGGAGAGGTGAGGCCGCCGTGCGCCCTGCGGCCGGGGACGCCCGGGGACGCCCGGGACAGCGGGACGGGGTCACCTCGGGTCAGCAAGCCAGCGCGGGTCGGCGGCGGGCGGCGGACGGCGGCCGCTCTGGAGGCCTGGTGCGGCGTCCACCCGGCCGGACGCGCCTGCGTCCTCTCCSGGCCTCCGCGCGAGCCGGGCAGGTGCTGGGGGTCCTCGGCGGGGCTGGGATGGCCGCCCCCAGCTCGAGGCCTTGCTCGGACGCGCYGGCGCGGCTCGCTGCGAGCCCCTCCGGCGCCGGCACCTGGAATGCGGAGGTGCGTGCGAAGCTCCTGGTCGGTGGAACCCGGGGGACTGGGACAGCCCAGCACATGCGAGGTCCTGGAGGTCAGCAGCCGCGCTGCAGGGAAGGCTGGCACTTCACGGGAACCTAGGCAGGCGCCTTACAGGTGGACCATTGAACTCAGAGGGAAGAGGAGTGGCCTTTCTCTCCGCAGAGAACTGCAGGCCTGGGCACTTAGCTGCCCCTCAGAAGCACAGATCGGCAAAGTGCTGGCTTGGTCTGGCCAGAGGAGGGCGGGAGCGTTGAGCCCTGATCTTGGAAGATCATGGAAGTTGTTACACTTACTGGGGACGTTAGGCCAAGTTGAGGAGGCAATTCAGAGCTCTTGAGGGTTTCCAAGGAGGAGCAGGACTAGGTGTTTGAGCGGATGTGGAAAACTGGGGTGATTGCCCAGATCCAACTACTTCAAAAAGATGAACCCTCTGTGTCTAGACCGGGCATCTGCATCTTCTAGCCTTGGATTTTCCTGCGTGGAGGGGGCTGGTGGATGTTGAGAAAAACTATGGTCCTCTCATTTTGGCATTGAGGATTTTCAGTGTTTATCCTGTTGTGTGTGCCCTGGAAAGTCAGGGGGGCCCATCCTCCAATGTGAGTGGGCCGAGGAGGCAGATGAGGCCACAGGTGGAGTGGAGTTTAAAGCTCCGTGTAGTTTATTCATCCTTTTCAGCTCCCATTATGTGCCAGGCACTGTACAAGAGCCGGGGACACAGGCGTGAACTAGGCAGTCCCTTCCTTGAGCTCCCTGTTTTGGTGAGTGGCAAGGGAACTAACAGCTGGGTCCAGGGTGGCAAATTCTGTGATGGAAGGTGTATCATGCTTCTGATGCAGAGTGAGGGCCTTGTGGGCGTGCATTTTCACTTTGGCAAGGATGTGTCAACAGACCCCTGGTTTGGGAGGTTAGATTTTAGATATGAGTGTCCCCAAAAGTGTCCCCATGTGTGAAACAATGGAAAGAAGATTAGAGATGAAGTGATTGGGTTATGAGAGCCTTAACCTAATTAGTGCATTAAGCTCTTATAGCAGGCAGGTGGGGTGTGGCTGGAGGAGGTGGTCATTGGGCGCATGCCTTTGGGGTTTATATTTTGTCCATGGTGAGGAGAGCCTCTCTGCTTCTTGGTGGCCATGTCCCCAACTGCACCCTCTGCCATGATGTTCTGCCTCACCTTTAGCCCAGAGCAATGGAGTCAACCATCTATGGACTGAGATCTCTGAAACCATGAGCCCTCAATTAAAGTTTTCCTCCATCAATTGTTCTTGTTAAGTCTTTTGGTTACAGCAAAGAAAAAGCTAAAACAGGGATACTATCTTAAGCCTTTTTTAACACAAATACCCTGTCTTTCCTTATATTCAGCCTTTCAAAAGAAGCATTGCTCAATACAGGGCAGGCAGCTGGATAGTTACTAAGATGGTGTGAGGCTAATGTCAACCTTTCTGATATTTGGCATAAGGTATATAGGTAGTAAAACCCTTATAATAAAATGCCCAGGTTATTTATTTAGTTTAGTTTAGTTTTTGGTGCTGGGGATTGAATTCAGGCCTCATGCATGCTAAGCATGAATTCTATCATTAAGCTATGCCTTATATAAAGGCATAATTTTTGGATGCATAAAATATCCAAAATTTTACTTGTCTTTATATCTGGTAACTTAGAATTTAAGCCTTACTTAGTAGCTGGAAATAACTTTTGAAATGAGCTTACTTTTCCAATAACTGAATGGCAGTTTATATTTGCAGTGAAAAATTTGAGTGCCACATGACCTTTGGATCCTTGAGCACAAATTTGCTAAGTCCCTCCTATGAGCTAGGTGCTATGCCTCTACATGGGTGGAGACAAAGATAAAGAGAAAATCCYATCTTGAGCACCTGGGCACTCGGGCAGCCAATCTCAGTCCCTAATGTGTTGTGACGAGGGGCTTTTACAAAGTGAGTGAGCGTTGGAGTAAACCCAAGTCCTCATGGGAAGCTCAGCCAGCTCGGGCCACATTGTGCTGGGAGCTTTTTTATCCAAGGTTGATCTGTACATTCTCCAAGTGACCTTCTTCCCTCGCCCAGGTTACCAGGTGACAGGGGTGTTCATGAAGAACTGGGACTCACTGGATGAACATGGCGTGTGTGCTGCTGACCGGGACTGCGAGGATGCTTACAGGGTCTGCCAGGTCTTAGACATCCCTTTCCACCAGGTGTCCTATGTGAAGGAGTATTGGAATGAAGTGTTCAGGTGAGTTCAGCATGTAGCACACAGGAGTCTTCCCAGTCCCTTCCCAGTCCCTGTGGATCCTCTGCCACTGTCGGCCAGACACAAGGGTGTGCAGTGTAGGACCCATGTTAGCCATGATGCTGCAGACTKCGGGAGCCCTCAGTTGGCCTTGGGGACCTCTGAACCCCTGCTGCTCTTGTTCTTCTTATTTTGCCACCTGCCAGAAGTCTCTTTAAAGCCTGTGTGAACCTTGACATGTTTCTGCTGCTGAGTTGGGATGAGGGGAAGGCTGAGCTCGTCCTGGAAGGTGCTGTCATGTGTCCTGACAGCCCAGTAGTTGGAAGGCTCAGAGAAGAGTCATGTGACAGACTGCCCTGTGCCTTTTGGAAATAGGAAAGAAAAGGCAGAAACTTTATAACATCTAATACAGTCCCATCGGTGATTGCTTACTGCATCCTCAGGACTGTGCTACCTCTGGGAACGTTGTATACCAGGCCTTGTTGTGGGTACTTTGCAATCCATTTGGGAGATGTTGTCCTTAGTGAGGAGTGGCATGTCGGAAAGTGCCCAGGTTGGGAGGAGGGAAGTCTGCTGTGTGGAGTGGGTCAGGAAGGCATTGTGGAGGAGGCTTGAAAACAACCAAGTAGAGAAGACACCATGTGGGCACCAAAGCAGCAGTGAAGGGACAGAGGAGGCCCAGCTTGGCTCAGGAGCATTGCACGTTTGGCTTCTCCTGGTGGCTAGTCTGTGGTGAAGTCTGATGATGCTCAGTGCCAGGTAGCCATCAGTGGCATCCGAGACAGGCCACATGTACAGTGTGGGTTGCCCTTGCCTGAGTGGGCTTCAGTCTTGATTCTGCCGCTTGGGCAATTTACTTGATTGTTCTAAGCCTCAGTTTTCCCATGTTAAAATAAGGACAATGCTAATACCTCCAAGGGGTATTAAGTGAGATTATATACAAAGTTCTAGCACAGTACGTTTTCATTGTTCGGCGAGTACACAGCCAAGTCTAGGATAAATTATGGAAGACCAGAGGCAGAGCAGCTAAGGAATTACTGCCCCTAAAATCTCCCACACATGATGTGGGAGAGGAAAGTGAAGGCTGGCTGCTCAGAGCCCATAGGACAAGTCTGCTGGACAGCAGATGCAGGCCAGCACAGCACTGGGCACTTGCTAAACAACTGGAACCTGGGTTGGTTCTGATCAAGGGGTTCTTAGGGTCTTTGGGAAGCAGTGTGATGAATGGTGCCTGGAGGAGGCCAGAGGGAGGAGGAGCCAGTGCTGGGTTCAGATCAAGTCCACATGGGCTGGACACTGACTGGAGTTCCTGAGTCCTTGGGGTCCTGGGCAAGAAGCCCAGGTGAGTCTGAACTTCTTCCTGCTGTGCTGCATTTCACAGCATCTACATGTGGTTTTGCAGGCTAGCTGACCTCTAACAGGCCAGACAGGCGTAGTGGGTGCTGCAGCAGATTGAGAGCAGAGCTGGGATTGAAGCCCCGCTGTCCAGGCCAGTGTGCACCTCTGTATCTCCAGGTGCCTCACTGACCCTAGGGTGCTGCTCACTAGGGACTGACATGGCCCCCTGAGAGTATCTGTGCACCCACCTCTGAGCTCCCCTCCAGCAGTGGCCAGGCTGCCCTCTGCCTTGCTGCTCTGGGGTAGCCAAAACTGTGCTCGCTGAGCTTTGTTCTGAAAACACTCTCAAGCTTAGTAATTTCTTCTGATTTCTTTGGTTCAAAGACCCACTTGGCCTGGAAGGGTCTAAGTAAGTCGTTCTTTAATCCCCTTCTCCTTCTGGCCGCACAGGGGTGAGGTCTCTTTCCCATGGAAGAGCCGCCTCCCTCCATTGCTTTTGTTAGTGTCCCTGATGTGCCTCCCTCCTCTGTCAGGAAATGGTCAAATGTTAAACTTTTTCAACATTTAAACTCAGTGTCTGTGAAATAGGAAGTTTATTGGGTTTGTGAACATACAGAGAGACATGCATCTGGGTAATTTACAATTTAATGAACTTCTTCACAACTTTCAACGATTAGAAACAGTAGAAAGAGTGTAATAATATCAAGTATTATCGCAAATCTGGAACCAGATCAGTTTTTTAACACTGAGGGGGCAGGTAGAAAAGTTAGACCTTGACTGCTGCTGTTGGTGATGCACAGGTGACCTGTGATCCCATGCAGGTCACTCTGTCTTCATAATGCATCCTTTTTGGTAAGTATCATTTTTTAAGCCTATTAGGTTAAATGAGGAAATTATCACACATACTAAAAATATACCCTATTATAAACTTCTGAAATAGGCATGGAGTGACTTCTGAGACTGGCATTCTTTCCATGTCTGGTGGGTGATGCCTGGGCAGTCTGTTAGGATGGAAATTCACCAGATTAGGACAACTGGATGCGCTTCAGCACCCAGGAGTTTCCTAGTCCTCTGAAAGGTTTCCGTGGCATATTTGTCCAGTGACTTGGGTCCCCAGCCTGGGATTGCAGAATCGAGCATCGAGTTCTGTAACTCTCAAGATCTCATTCCTGCTGTGACTCACATGTCCTGTGTTGGAGGAGTCCTGGAGAGCAGGAGTGCAGCGCCTTGTCTCCCCATCCCTGGCTCTGCAGGAGGCAGGTGGCACCTGAGCCACAGCAGCAGGGACACACCTGTTCTTCATCTAGGCTTGTCAGTCATCACAGCATCAGATGGCAAGTGCAGGGGCTCTGAACAAACGTTGGATGAAAACACAGGAAGTGTTTTGGTACCAAAGCTCCCTGTTGAAGAAAGTTCCTGTGTGGGTAGGGAAAGGACAAAGTCCACACTAAATTACTGACTCTGCTGTTTTGTTTTGTTTTGTTTWTAAGAATTATTTTGCTCTTAGAGCTGAAGTGCTTTTCTTTTATTCCAGTGATTTTTTGAATGAGTATGAAAGAGGAAGGACTCCTAACCCTGACATAGTCTGCAACAAGCATATCAAGTTCAGCTGCTTTTTCCGTTATGCTGTGGATAATCTTGGTAAGAAATATGGGATTTTTCCATTTGTTGTAAGATTTTCATAGCTAAGCCAGGCTCAGTGGTACATGCCTGTAATCCAGCAGCTCGGGAGGCTGAGACAGGAGGTTTGTGAGTTCAAAGCGAGCCTCAGCAATTTAGCGAGGCCCTGTCTCTAAATAAAATATGAAAAAGGGCTGGGGATGTGGCTCAGTGGTTGAAGGCCCCTGGATTCAATCCCTGGTTTGAAGAAAAAAAAAAAGAAAGATTTTTCAGAGCTAAGACAGAAGCCAAAACCTATGAGCAGTTTCATTTTCTAGGAGGAAAAGAAGCAGGGAAACTGAAGCTGTGCTGTATTTCACTGAGTGAGAAGGAGGTTTCTGGTGAGGTGCACATGATGGGAGGACAGGGTATTTCCCATGGCCACTCACACATGAGGACAGGTTGCCGACATCCCAAGGAAAGATGTATTTGGTTCCTGGCCAAAGGGCTGGAAGGTGACAGTGCCTCAGGGGAGGAGGAGATTCTTGTAAGTCATAATTGATGATAGTGGATCATCAGCCACCTTGATGAGGTATCATCAGAAAGAAAAGGCTGTGAAAAATGCCAGTAGGTGAACCTGTACGTGTGTCCAGAGGCTTTGAACCTTGGAAAGATGCCGAAGACGACAAAGCTATTAAAAAAAAAGGTTGGCCCAGAAAGAAGAGCACAAGAGAGTACCAGGCCTAGTGCCCTGGGGCCTGTGTGCCGTTGCACCATGCTGGCACAGGGAAGACTCCTTGAACCAGGATCCAAAGCAGTGCAGAGAGTACCACCCATAGAGGATACCCAGCCTTTCCAATGAAGTTGTCTCTAGGTCCAGCTGAGCTGTGACTAGGTGGCCTGCAGAACTTACAGGCCCTGATCCTACATGGCTCCCTGTTGCAGTGTCTCCTCCTACCTAGGGCCATGCACCCCACCTGAAGCTCAGTTCTGCTCAAGGCAGCTCTGGTTGTAGATGTGAGTGTACTTAGGGGGAGCTTCTAAACTTGGGTTTAGTCATCCCTCTCCATAGTCCTACTGAGACCTTTGCTCTAGCTTCCAAAAGGGAGGCTGTGCTTTTTCCTGAGGATGGGCCCGTGTTCTGCCTGACTCTGGTCCTCGGTCCCTGTTCTTCTATGGGTTTGAAGCCATCTTACCAATCTGTGCTGGAAGCCCACTCCTGCTGCCAGCTGATGACTACCCTGCGCATTGAATCTGCAGATTCTCTCTGTTCCTGAATCTCCCCTTCTTGATTCTGTCTGTGTATTTGACACCTGTCCCATTTGTTGGGACTTCTTAGTGCTGAATCACTTAGAAGTCCTTTTGGTAGCTACCTGTTCCTGTCCTCTTCCTTAGGGTCACCATCATGATCTTCTGCAGTTCTCAGTCTGCTCTGCCTCACTGACGCTTGCCTGCCTGCCTGCATGGCCTCGAAACAGGGCAGGGGTAATCTGCCCCTGTTCAGTAGCATTAGCACTTTTAGCAGTGACATGGATAAGGATCAAGTAGCACTCAGATGCAAGGTGTCAGTGACCTAAGGCTGAGTCGATGGTAATGAAAAGTTGACTTGCCACATTAGGAGTTAAAAGAAAAGGCAGCAAAGAAAGAAACCAAGAAGTCCTAAATATGAAGGCCGGACTCACCAAAAGCATGGCACACGGTGGATGTGGGTGCAGTTTGTTGACAAGGCTCAGTGAGCAGTCCTGGCACCAGGCGGGGAAGAGCTGGCTTGGTCACCACTCGCATGCAGTCCTGGCACCAGGCGGGGAAGAGCTGGCTTGGTCACCACTCGCATGCAGAAGATCCTAGGTCTTAGTTGCTTCCAGTTGACGAACACAACAGAGTCTGTTGTCCAAGCCAGTGTAGACTGAGCTGGTGGGGCAGGGAGAAGAGGCCTCCACAGTCTGCCCTGGTCAGGTCCCACCTGCTATCTAGGAAAAATGACATGCTGATAGAGTGTGGGCTGATTTTCATTCCCTGTGTGTGTGGAAATGTCCTCTGATGAACTCTTGAGATCACTCAGGTCACCACAGCAGTGGTCAAGTGGATGCTCATGAGGATTGAGGATTGTATTCCTTGTGTGGCATTCAGAGAGCAGGGCTGGCATTCACAGAGAGAGGTTTCTCTGGGAGCAGGTGTGACGGCGAGCCAGACAGGAGTGTTGGCCTCTGGGATGCGAGCTCCCTGGGCAGAGTGCTCTAGAGCCCTGTGTGTGTTGCTTGGCTTACTTTGGAAGGAGCTCCTTCAGTGCCCACTTCCATGTCTGAATTAACTGCACAGACAGCATAACGGGAAAGAAACACGAGAAGCCTTCTGACACGTTAGGGCTTCTCCCAGAAGAACCCTGTGGGTCTTGGCTGCATAAGTGGTTCTTCTTGAAGGATGCAAGATTCCAAGTGGGTTTTTATTTTTATTTTTATTTATTTATTTATTTAATTTTTAAAATTTTTTTATTTTTTAAAATTTTTATTTATTTTTAAATTTTAAAAATTTAATTTATTTATTTTACCAAGTGGGTTTTTCTCTGTTGGAAGATGAAGTCAAGATGTAATGTGTGCTCCTAAAGGTCCATTCCCAGTAGTTCATGTGCATCAGGCAGCTCTCAGCCTCCTGAGTCACCTTGAGCTTAGCACGGAGTGTTCTGGCTGCTCAGGGTGGAATCAGGTTCACTGCACCCCCTGGCATGAAGCCTCGCGATACTGAAGAGTTAGAATTTCCACACAGTGAAAGGGTCAGCACTAAAGTCTACTTTGGTAGTTTCTGTTGACTTTTTTGCATTATGTAGACAGGAGAAATTGAATATGTTGTACGGTCCATCGCAGTGACAATAATTACTTATGTTTATTAAAGAAAATTTAAGATGACTGAAGAAAGAGGGGAAGTGCTATCCAGACTTCACTCCCACAGTGAAGGGAGCAAACCTGTGGTGCTTCATCTTTTTCTGTTCTTCAGAAATTACAGGTTGTAGTATCATATACCTTTCTGTTTCACAGTGTCGTGGGCATTCTCTTTGTCTCCATCTGTAAGTGCCACTGCACTACAGCTGAGGCATCATCCTCCTGGTGCTGAACACTTTTTAAGGAATTGAAATGAGGTGTTATTTTCGGGGGGATTGTTTTTTGAGGTGCTATAGATCGAAACTGATGCACTTTACTATGAGCTACACCCCCAGCCCTGTTTTAGATTTTTAATTGAGACAGGGTCACTAAGTTGCTGAGACTGGCCTTGAACTTGCAGTCCTTCCACAGCTTCCTGAGTAGCTGGGGTCACAGGTGTGTCACCATGCAGCTGAAATGAACTTTCTGAGTTTAAATCTGTGTATGTGGGATTATTTCCTTAAACTAGGATGAATGACTCGACACTTTTGAAAGGCTCCTGAAGACATTTTATCAGTGTGTGGCAAGGCTGATCAGCAGCCCACTTGGCCCAGTCCCCGCAGGCCGCCGCATAGGACTGTGGGTCTTTGTGCTTCTTTCATTACCTTGGCTCATGTTGACCGAGGCCAGTGAATTGGAGTCTCATGTTGAGTCTCACGTGTTTGAAAACACATCCTTGTGGTTTTATTTTTTTTAAATACAGTTATTTTTATTGTATTTATTTTTATGTGGTGCTGAGGATGGAACCAGTGCCTCCCACATGCTAGGTGAGTGCTCCACCACTGAGCCCCAGCTCCAGCCCACTTCTTTGTGTTTTTAAAACTTCCCAGGAGCAGATGCTGTTGCCACAGGCCACTACGCAAGAACTTCACTGGAGGATGAAGAAGTCTTTCAGCAGAAGCATATTAAGAGGCCAGAAGGGCTTTTCAGAAATCGATTTGAAGTTAGAAATCGTAAGTTCATGTGCCCAGGCCAGAACTTAATTCTTTGTGAAAAAAGTAAAATATTTTGAAGAATGTCAGGAGTTGGATCTGAGCATGCCGCCATCTGGCTCTCTCTGCGCTCTAAATTAACTGGTTGGTTTTGGGTTCACATTTGAAAAGGTGTAGTTGCCAACAGGGTCACTTCCCCAGGGGCCAGTAAGAGATATCCCAAACAGGTGGCAGAGCAAGGCCTGGGGGAATTAAATTAGAAACTTAGCATCCAATTCTAGACATTGTATGTGGGTCATTTTCATATTCTAGAGCTCAGCGGGGGAAACATTTGACTTTAGTCATGAGGTGCTTCGTTTTAACCAACTGAAGCTTTCTTTGTATCAGGGTTTGCAGCTCAAGACTGGGTGTGACCCAAGTTCAGGGAGCAGGCACCTCGGGCAGGTCTGGGGCCAGCTTGAGCCTGTGCACAATGTGTGTTCAGAGTGGTTTATAAATGTCAGGGAAAAAAGTTTCACTTTTGGGGAAAGTCAGGAGCCAGACAGAGCAGGAAGCCTCTGTCTTGTCGTGCCGTGCGTTCATTTATGTTAGAAAAGGGGAGTTCATCTCACTGTCAAGTAAAACACGGGGCTTGGGCTCGCTTCCACAAGGACTTTGGACTGCGGGCAGTGGTTGGAGGTCAGCATTTCTCCATGTCCAACAGCCAGCAGCCTACCCCCAGGCACCTGGCTGTCTCTTAGTTCAGCTTTGGTTTCCACCACCCCCTGCATGGGGATTGGGGACCTCGGGAAGAAGGAACACTTTCTACTTTGCGCCTCCTCGCAGTCTGATGAGGTACACCTCTTTTCCTTTATGAGGAATCTGAGGCGTGGTCAAGTCATTGACTGGGCACACCAGGTGCAGAGTCTGCTCACTCATCCCTGTCCCGTCTGCTGTGCCAGCCACGGAGCCCGTTTTGACAGCAGCAGTGACCAGCAGCAGTCCTGTGTGCTGTGTCTTGGGCGCCAGAGCCTGCTGCAGGGGCTGTCCGACCTGTTTGTCTTCCTTCCTTTCTCGAAGCAGAGGTACTCGGCAGCCTTGCTACCCCTGCCCCGATGGGAAAGCCTGGGCCTTTGTTGGGAGGGATGGGAGGCCTCTGTGTTACCTCAGCAGCTGTGTCCACCTGTGGGGCCTCTGTCCCCTTGGCACCCTGGTTCTTACCTACTGGATTCCCACTTCTGGGCACGCTCACCTCGAAAGCCCCAACCCCGGAGCGCGTGACGGAGGCACAGCCTGCTGACTGGGAGCTCCCAGTGGGACTCGACATCTGTGGATTCCTGGGACCCACAGCTGGGTCATTTCCCGAGCTGAACACACAGGCCTGCATGTCCCCTAGAGAGTCCCTGGCCCTCGTCCAGGCCGTGCTCACTTTAGAGCTCTGCCAAGAGCGTCGGTACGCTATTGGGTCTGCCCAGTAATGCTGCCAAGTCTGTTTTCATTGTGTGTGAGGCTTGCCAAGACTTTAGTTCTCTTGTTTAGTGGTCCTGGCCTGGCCCCGGTCCTAGGGAGTGGCAGATGGAGGCAGGTGAGAGCCCTGGCCACAGCGCTGGGCTGGCCTGTTCCTCCTGTGCATGCAGTGCGAGCCCAGCTGCTCCCATCCTGCTCCTCTGCAGGAGCCATGGGGTTGCCAGCTTCCTTCCTATAAAAGCACAGGTGTTTAGTTTAGTTTAAAGTAACTCAGAACTAAGAAAATCTTAATTCCTCCCAGTAATTGGAGGTCTTTGCACTCAAAGTATTTGACAGAATTTCGTTTTGAAACAATAAGAAATTGAGAAATGAATCTGCTCCCGTCTGGCAGTGGGGCAGGTTTTGTTTGGGCTGGTTGTGGTATTTGGTGCTCACAGTGGGGACAGAGGTCAGGAGACGGGCTATTTCTGGCTCTGCCTTCTCCACTGTGTCACTCTGGGACAGAAGCAGAAGCTTCAGTTTTCTGGACATTGGTTTCCTCAACTGTTAAATGGGGACGATTCTACCGCAGGCTAATGTGTGATTGGCGGGTGGAAATGTGAGCCACACAGATGCCACACTGCCCACACCACTGTGCTGACATAAAGCCTGCATGGTTTGGGAAGTGTGTATCTGTCATCCCAGCTGCTTGGGAGGCTGAGGCAGGAGGATTGCGAGTTCAAAGCCAGCCTCTGCAACTTACCAAAGCCTTAGCAACTTAGTAAGACCCTGTCTTAAAATAAAAAGGGCTGGGGATGTGGCTCAGTGGTTAAGTGCCCCTGGGGTCAATCCCCAGTCCCCCCCCCCCGAATAAATAAATAAATAAACAAACAAACAAATAAATAAATAAAGCCTACAGTGTTGCTGAAGCCTATCGTGTGYATGGCAAGCTCTGCCTATAACCTGGGGTGTTGCTGAGCCCCAGAGGTGAGAGGGTGAAAGGAGAGTGAGGTCATTGTTCTGATGAGTTCCATGGGTTGGGTCCCTGGGTGGGATGGGCAGTCGGCAGCTCCCCTACTGGAGGGCCAGGGTCACTCATGCCTTTGCATAGCTGCTGAAGTGCTAGCCTGTTCCTTACGGTGAAATGGAGCATGTTTGGGAAACAACACAGCAACTGTGAGGTCAGTATGGCCTCCAGACAGGGCCCTTGAGCAGGAAGCGGGTGTGGCCCAGGAGTGCCCTGCGCTGTCCCACCAGGCACCAGGGCGGGAAGCCAACCTGCTGTTCTCCTGCCCAGATGCCTGCTCCTGGCTGAACTTATTTGGGGCTTGTGTTTTCCCCTTTTCACTTTGTGGTTTTCACAAGCTGTTTTTTCTTTGGAACTCTACAGTCTAAATTGTGAACTGGAATAAATGTCCCATCATATAAAACCTGCTTGCCCTGTGTTTTCTTACGGTAGATAAATAAGAGGCAAGAGTCCTCCCCACATGGGCCCCGCTGGCAGCTCCCCCAGTGGTCTGCTGTGGGGTCGGCTTCTGCTCCCACCGCCCAGGGACAAGTGAGCAGAAAGATAGGACTAAAGGCAAAGTATCGTCATTTTCATTCCTGCAACATCTTTTGTTCTTTACTCTTGGCAGCGGTAAAACTTCTCCAAGCAGCTGACAGCTTTAAAGACCAGACCTTCTTTCTCAGCCAGGTTTCCCAGGATGCCCTGAGAAGAACCATCTTCCCTTTAGGGGGATTAACGAAGGATTTTGTAAAGAAAATAGCTGCTGAGAATAGACTCCATCATGTGCTCCAGAAGAAAGAGGTAGGTGTGAGAGTTGGCCTCTGACTCGGACACACCGCGTCCACTGTGGCCGCAGCACAGGGTGACGTGGTGGCTGTGGGTTCCCTAACCTGGCCTCCAGCATCAGGCGGAGCCCCTGGGAGCAGGCCTGCGCGCTGCAGTGTGCGGCAGAGGCTGCACCGGCTCCCCTCCCTCCCTGGGCCCTCCGAGTAGGCAGGAGCCCTGCTGCCGTCTGCACACGAAGCTGCCCTTTCACCCTGGCACATCTCATGCTGCTTTTGTGCCAGGCCCTGTGCTGCTAAAGCCTGAGGAGATGGTGACGGGCAAACAGCTCCATTTCTGCCTTGCCCAAGTTTACAATTGAGAAAGGGAGAGAGATCTGTGAGATGTGTTGTTGTAAACCTAGTGGGCATCTGTGGCAAAAGGGCTGAGATCCTGCGAGGACCTCTGGGGTGCCGGTTAGCCTAGGGGTAGAGGTGTCAAGAAAGGACCCTGGGGAAATCACATGTAACTTCAGGGCAAAGCACAGGTGAGATTAGTGAGAAAAATCCATGTGGAGGGAAGAACTTGTGCAAAGGCCCTGGGTGAGGGGGCCGGTGTGATGGCATGAATGGGGTGAAGCCATTATGCCAGGGGCTCAGTGGTGAGTCGAGGTTGCTGCAGGGTCAGCCTTCCGAGCCCACAGACCCCCGTACTGCTGAGCCTGCCCTCTTCAGGGGTCAGAGGCGCTTCAGCTGTAGCCACTACTCATGCCTGTCTTCTCAGGAACGGGTAGCAGGCATCCTCCCCAGAGAGGACACCCCTTCCCTCTGGCCTTCGCTCCTCTGTTGTAGTTTCCAGTAATTGCTCCATGGTGGGAGCGGAGGGCGTTGCTAAGACTCGTGACGCAGGCCGTACCTTCCTGGGCCCATGTTCTGGAGGGACATAAGCCAAAGCATCAATGCTGGCTCCACTTGCCAAGGGAAGCAGCCTCCTTCTGCCTGGCCCTCCCTGTTCCCTCTGCTTGGGCCCCAGCCTCCCTCTAGCTCCAGCCCCGCTCCAGTGTCTCCTGAGGGCTAGACTTAGTTCTCTTTCCTGGGGCAGCTCATGATGTTGTGTAGCACTGGGCAGGCCCTGGGCACATGCAGTGTCTGCATGTAGGGGACCTAGACCCAGCGGCCTGAGACAGACATCCCTGAAACCCTGAAGCTCTGCTTGCAGGGTGTGCCTGGTGTCTGAGGGCGCTGGAGGAGGCCCTCAGGCTCTGGCCCAGAAGTGTATTTGCTGGGAGGCCAGGGCAGCCCTGGTTTCTCCCTCTTCCTGGCCCAGCCCCTCCTAGCACAGGAGACCTCCTGCCATCTGCTCATCTCCTGCCAACTCCTCATCTGCCACCCTCCTCTCGTTTCAGAGCATGGGCATCTGTTTCGTCGGTAAAAGAAACTTTGAGCATTTCATTCTTCAGGTGAGTGTTCTTTGATAGGTTGTGCGGCTGCTCCAGCCCTGGATCTCCATTAGTAATGAGATGTTTGTCTTCCAGTATTTGCAGCCTCGACCTGGGAAATTTATTTCTATTGAGGACAATACAGTTCTGGGAACACATAAAGGTGAGTTGTAGTCCTGGCTCCTTCCCTAAGCTCCTCCAGCCATGCGTGCGTGCTGGCTCTGGGAACTGGGAACAAGGTGGCTTGGCCCTTTCCACCTTCCCAGGGAGTCCCAGAAGGCCTGGGGGCAGGTTTAGGTAAGTGTGGTGGCCCAGGGCAGTCTGTCTGGGGCTGTGTGCACATTACCATGGTGTCTCCTCCTGAGCTTTGGATTTGACAAAAAGCTTCCACCTAATGGGGGCTTCAGTCTCCGCTGTGAATCAAGTCCCTGTAGGTAGAGTATGTTTCTTACTGAACAAGGAAAATGTGAAACTGTAGAAACTCCACTCTGCTGAAGGAGTTTGGTCATCATAGCTGGATGTGTGGACAGGGTAAGGTGTCCTCTGGCAGGGGTACTGCCCACATTTGCTGGCATTCATGGGCAGGGCCACTGTGACCTGCACTGGGCTGGGCATAGGGGCACAGGTCCTCACGGTCCTGGTGCAGGGATGGACGGTGTGGGCTGATGGGGATGTGCCCTAGGGCAGGATACCGAGGCGAGTCTTGGCCCAGCACAGTCCTGCCCTGGCTGGGAGGACTGGGCCATGCTCTGATGTGGGGAGTCTCTGAATTGTGCTTTGGAGAACCCCCACTTCCTGTGGAGGGAGAGGCACAGCTGAGCAGGGAGGCCGAGAAATGACATTGCCAGGGACAGAGCTGCCATCTCCCGCAGCAGGCAGCTGAAGGCTGGTGTCTTAAATCTGCACCTGGTGTGTGGTGGCAGGTCTCGTCAGGTCACTCCTGACTGCATGCATGCACTCCAGAGGAGGCCCAGGAGAGCTGGGGACCTGAGATGGGTGGAGTGGGATATGGAGAGAGCTGGTCAGCCCTGAAGCAGGTGGTGCGCTCACAGGCCAYGCTGGACCTCCTGTGAGAGCTGCAGGCGCGCCAGGGCTTAACAGGCAGGGCCACGCCTCAGACATCTCACAGGAGCTGGCCCTGCTCCTCATGTCAGGTGAGAGGTGTGGTCTCTGCCACGGTCATAGTCCTTGTGTCCAGCCTAGGACTGGCTCTGGAGGCTGGAGGATCATGGCTTTTGAGTGGGCCCTGGTCACTGCAGCCGTGTCTGGGGTTGCCCTGGAGCCACCTGCTGCCTCCACCCGCAGCTGTTCTGCCCCCTCCACCAGGACCTCCTCCCTGGGCCTCACGAGAACCTGTCTGTAGGTTGGTTCCTGTACACCTTGGGCCAGAGAGCTAAGATCAGCGGCCTGAGGGAGCCCTGGTACGTGGTGGAGAAGGACGCTGCCAAGGGTGACGTGCTCGTGGTAAGTGGGGGGCCAGGAGTAGGGCTCGCCGTGGGCACAGGCCTCGCCTGCACTCCGCAGCCTCCCGGGGCCGCCCCGGGCAGAGGGTCCTGGCCTGGTGGGTACTGGGCTCCTGCTGTGTGCAGGTCACTCTTCAAGTCACTGCATGCTGCTTAGGGGCTCATCTGATTTTATGAACAAGGAGGACACACAGTTAAGTGACTGGCGAAGGTCATGTGGAGAGGAGGAGGAAGCCACGGGGCTGCGGTGGTAGGAGCCCAGAAGTCCTCATGGGGCAGAAACCAGTGGCTGAGCCAGGACAAGCCAGGCTATCTGCCATGCTGGGCCTTGAGCCATCCCGGCCTTGGCTTGCTGCCCAGGCTGCAGAGCAGAGTTTCTCAAGGGGCATGCATCCCCCACCCCCATGGGGGCCATTGGCAAAGTCTGGAGATGCTTTGGGTTGTCACAGTTTCAGTGTGGGGGCCAGGTCTGCTGGCATCCAGTGGATAAGGCCATGGACATTGCTGAATAGCCTGAGGAGCACAGGACATCCCCCTTGCCTAATAGAAAACTTGCTCTTGCTGTCGTGAATGCTGGGGGCCTTCTCTTGGTGGCAGCTCAAGAGGCCAGGAGACCTCACCTGCCAGCCAAGACACCCCCCTCCAGGAAGAGCTGTGTGTGGGGAGCCTGGCAGGTAGGGGTGGCAGTGAACATTCCCTGGGAGTGGAGGCCTGTGTGGCCCAGTACCTGSTGAGGACCCAAGCCCCTGGATCTGGTGCTCCTGGTCCTGCCCTAGGTGTGGGCATGGCCTACTCCTCAGAGAGCCTCAGGGCCAGACCCTGGTGTGAGCACAGCCCTGGACTTGCTCCAGGCCCTGCTTTCCTTGAAAGGCCAGTGGTATGACTGGCCGATGTCCCTGGAAACAGAAAACCAGTCTTCATAGAGGTGGAGGGCAGGGCCTGGGCTTCAGGGGGGAGAGTGCCTGAACCTGGGCTCAGGTCTCGCCCCCGCCTCTTGTCACCTGCCACATGGCAGGTTCCCTTCCCTCCTGTGCCTTAGCTTCCCCAACTACACAATGGATGATTCAGTGAGACACCAGGGACCAGGCCGCTGCCTGTCACCAGTCTGTGCTCCTTAGCTGTTAGGTGCCAGTGAGGTGGGCTTCGGGCTTCTGGGCTGTCTTCTGAGGGCTAGAAGGCGTCACAGCTTTCACTCCTCCGCAGGCCCCCCGCACAGACCACCCAGCCCTCTACCGGGACCTGCTGAGGACCAGCCGTGTGCACTGGATTGCAGAGGAGCCCCCTGCCGCCCTGGTCCGGGATAAGATGATGGAGTGCCACTTCCGATTCCGTCACCAGATGGCGCTAGGTGATTAGGTGGGCGGGGCCAGGGAGGCTTCTTGGAGCTGAGGTCCCTGGGGTCAGACTTGGGCCAGAGCCCCTTGGACGGGGAAAGTCCCTCATGTTGAGACGATGTGATCTTTCAAAACTCCCTTGAGCTGTGTTTGCCATAGAGGGGCCTGGGGTGAGGGGGGCCGCGCAGGTGGTATGTTGTCATGCCCTGCCATGTCTGAGGACTGCTGTCCTACCCTGCCCTGGCAGAGGGGTTTCAAGGCCCCTCTCTCCACCCAGTGCCCTGTGTGCTGACCCTCAATCAGGACGGCACCGTGTGGGTGACTGCTGTGAAGGCTGTGCGGGCCCTCGCCCTGGGGCAGGTGAGTCGGGTGCAGGGGCGGGGGGACTGCAGGGACACCCAGCAGGACGGCTGGACAGGCACTCGTCATTGCTGTCCGCTGTGGCCACGTGCCTGTGGCTCTGCTCTGGAGAGCTGAAGCACTGACCTGGCAGCCCTCCCTGGGCTCCCGCCCTTCAGCCCCACAGGCCCGAGTCGCACTCCCACATTGAGGCTTCTCTTTTGCAGTTTGCCGTGTTCTACAAGGGGGATGAGTGCCTGGGCAGTGGGAAGATCCTGCGCTTGGGGCCRTCGGCCTACACACTCCAGAAGGGCAGGAGCAGAGCCAGAGTGGCTCCTGAGGGCTCCAGTGAGGGACCCAGCAAAGATCCAGGCCCGTGCCCCACACCCTGACAGAAGCCGAGCCGCAGGAGGACTCCTGTGACAGGAGAGCCTGGGGCTGAGCAGCGTAGGCAGGGCAGGGCCGGGCAGGGCAGTGATGGACTCAGTGCTGCCTGGACCAGGGGCAGCCCCAGGAAGGCCCTTTGTCTTGTGCTGGAACCAGCAACAGAAGCATCCGATGGCCAGTGGGTCAGCCCCGAGGCCCTGTTCAGTCTCCTTCATGCTTACCCCCTGGGACAGTTGCCCTGGAAGAACACTGCAGGGACAGCATTGAATAAAAAGTCCAACTGGGATGAGGAGTCTGACCACTGTGTCCAGGGGCTGGGGGGCCTGGGTGGGCTGTCGCAGGGGCTCATCACTGGCAGCTGATGGAATGGAAGGCAGATGGACAGCAAGGGAAGGGCCCGAGAGATGGCCTGGCCTCCCTCTGGGGCCTGAGCCCTATGCCTTGGGAAGGCAGAGAGCCATCCACATTAGGTCTGCTGAAGCCCAGAAGTCCACAGGGGAAGCACACAGAGCCCCTTGCCCTGCAGGGCCCACTTCCAGCAGAACCCGGTGCTTTCCTGGTGAGCATGGCCTTGGGCTGTGGGCTTTAGAAGTCCACGCACAGGGCGTCAGGGAGGCAGCACTCGGGCAGCCTTTGGTGTGGCACTCTTATGGGTCACTTTCCTCTCTGGGCTAGGACCTTGGAGAGGCCTGGGGAGGGCCTGGGGGGCCGAGGGGGCGGATTGTGGGACAGTGCAGGTGGCTGAGACTCGGGGAGAAACCCGTCTTTTTAGGCAAAGAGGAGTGAGGTGAGTCCCAGTGGGGCGAGGACTGGAGAAGCAGCCTAGCACAGGCCCCAGGGCCCTCGGCTGGACACCAGCAGACCCAAGGCCCTGGCTCTGGAGCTGGCACCAACCCCTCAGGGCAGGTGGGACTGTCAGGAACCTGACCAGGCTGCTTCACTATGGAAAGGGTGACATCCAGAGCCAGGCCTCCAGCTGGCCCAGAGCCCAGCATGACCCAGTTCCCCTGAAATCACTGAGCCACAGGCTCGGGGACACCAGTGAAAAACAGGGGACAGATTACAGTCTTGAGGTGACAGAGCTCACACTAGCAAGGTGGAGCAGTGCTCCTCAGGTACCCCAGGAGGAAAAGGCAAGCGCTGGCAACCGCAGGGCCCAGTGGAGAGAAGGCCAAGTGTGGACAGGAACCTGAAGAACTGCAGGTGACAGTGCTGAAGTAAAGACCCAAGGACACGCTCAGTGATGAGGCGGAAGGACCAGGACGATCAACTCATAACGGGAGAGAAACATGAGCCATGAAGGAGGCCTGAGGGACGGGTGCACCGGAGGCCGGGCGCCAGGAGAGGAGGGGAGACGGGGCAGGAAAGCAGTCGAAGGAACAGCTCAGTCTTCCCAGCTTTGGTGGCACAGACCGACTCTCAGGAAACCCAGTGAGACCTGCCACCCGCTTCCCAGGAGGGAGCCTGAGGTGCCTTTCACGCCACCTTGGGGAGGGGAGCAGGGCAGCCCCGCACAGCTGAGGAACAGACTCGGACATCTGAATTTATTGTAGACTCTTCTCATTTGCGTTGTCATTCCAGTGTTTGACATTAATAAATACACGTGTTAAAACCTCCAGTGTCTGATCTCTCAGAGTCTTACTCATGAAAATAGGTTTAAATTTTTCCTGTCTTATAAAATGACTTTTTTTTTTTTTTTTTGGTAACAATTTTGATCAGATTAAAAACTACACCTCCAGAGGCGACAGGAAGCTGGGGCAGCAGGGACACAACGCCCCTTCCCTCCCCCAGAGGCCTGTGCCAGGTCCCCAYGCCCCGCTGGGTGTGGAGGTTGAGGACGTGCACTGCCCGCAGAGAATCGCCTCTCACTGACCAGTGGCTTGTCACACCTGGAAGCAGCTGTGCCCACCACCTGCTTGGGCACCTGATTTGAGATCAGAGGCCATGCTGAAATAAGATGCATCTGAAGGACTCTGGGCCTGCTCCACAGCCCCTCGGGCCGTGCTGTGCCCTGGCTCTCAGGGACAATCACAGGGCTTYGCGTGAGTTTCCAAAAACAGCTTGGTGGTCACTGGAAAGAGTGCTGCAGTTTATCCCTCTGCACCATTGACCACTTGAAGCAAAATTATGTAACTGGCCAGACACTGGGGATGGCACCCCAGCCTGCCCAGAATCTAAAGGAGCCAGGAAGTTGGCAGGGGGACGTGATGTCCTGGAGACCCTGCAGCTCCTTTGAATTGGGTTGTGTGAATGCTTCGAGATCACACCCGGAGCAAGAGTCTGGAACAAAGGAATTCCCTGCCTGTAGTGCCAGGCTCCGGGCCCCCTGGGCCTGGAGGGGGCCAGGCATAGGGGTGTGAGATCAGTGCGGTAGCCACAGTTCACACTGACCACAGCAGGCCCCCTGAGTGGCGGATCCCAGATGGCCCTGTGGGGCCGCACATGTGGGGTGAGGAACTGAGGCAGCACGTGCTGTGGGTTCTGGAGGCCAGCAGTAGTCCCAGGCCTCCTTGCTCACTGGCTGAAAGCAGGTGCAGGAACTTGGAAGACTGTAGCCCCYGCAGGAACACGTCACCTGTGATGTGGGGACGCCAGCTGCGGCAGCAGCTCCAGATTCAAGTCCAACTGTGAAGTCCTCCTCGTATGAAAACGGTAAGAGATCCTTCCACAGACCTCTCAGTAACAACCAGCCAAATATACAACAGTATTTCCACCTTTTCAACAGAGCAAAGCAATCTGCTTGGAGACGGGTGCCTTTGCCAGAGGCTGCTGACACTGCAAGCCATGCCCATGTGGCCCTCAGTCTGCTCAGCTCCTGCAAACCCTGCTGAGCCCACAGGCCAGCTGGGCCTCCTGCACAGGCCAGAAGCATGATTTTGACTCTGTGCAGGCTGAGGACCCAGCTCTGTTGGCCCAGGGTCAACATCTCCCTTGAAACATGCCAGTGGCTTTGGCACTTGTCACTGGGTCTGACAGGCCCCGAGTCCATGGGAGAGCCAAGGGCTTCGTGTCTGGACCGTCCGATGTGGAGCTGCTTCTGCAGGGACCCTCATACTCAGGGCCCACTTCATTCTGGAGGCAGCAGCCCTTTGGGCTCCAAGGTCCAAGGGCTCAGGATGGTGGTGGCCTGTATGGGGTGACAGGCTTGCCTCATGGTTTCCTGATGGTTCAAATTGAAGTTTCATTACTGCCTCTGCGTGTGGAAGAAGCCATCAGGCAGGTGGTGGGTCAGTGAGGGTGGCAGCTGGGTGGGATCCAAAGTCAATGGGGGCAGAACTTCCCCAGTTCAGGAATAGACACCTGGGGCCTGCACGGGTCCTGGACGGGGGGAGAGCTGGCGGCCCCCACCCTGACCCCAGCCCTGGAGGCCAATACTACTCACTCAGAGTCGGAGCCTTCAGCCTGGGCACTCCCCACACACACGTTCATGGCCACCCCATTCAGATGCTCGCGGCCTGGCTCCCTCCCAGGGGTCTTGATGGTGATTACACAGTCGGGGGCACGGACCCCATCGCCAGAGCCCAGGGAGGATGTGCGCGAGGACGCGGGGCTCTGCTCACAGTCGGCCAGCTTTTCCCGCAGCCGGCACTTCAGTGGGGGTCCTGGCAGTGGTGGTGGGTAGGCGACTTTGTTTTTCAAGATACCTGGGAGGAGGGAGGCCCGACAGGGTCACACCTGTGCCTCCTCTAGTTCAGAGTCCTCTCTGATCTGCCTACGCCCCGCCCATGTCCCACAAGATCCCACCACCTTGCTACATAAGGCCCCTGCCTTGTCCCCACCAGCCGGCAAGGGACAAGTCCCGTGGTAGGCCTCCCTCCTGGGCACCTTTCCTCTGCTCTGGGGGCTGGCTGCTGGGCATGGATGGCCGGTCTGAAGGCTGGGTGCTGCAGCGGTCGCCCTGCTCCTGCCGGTGCAGCTCCACGCTGACCTTGGTCTCCACCTTCAGGTGGGGCTCGGTGCCCGCCTCCTCACTGTCGCTGCCTGCGGGGCTCGCATCAGGCCAGCCAGCTGGGACGTGGTTGGCCAGGGCATCCGCTGAGATGGGTGACACAGCACCTGGGCATCCCAAGCCTGGCAAGCCCCCAGGATGGCCCTGACCCTCCACCCACAGGCCTGGCAGGGCTGCCTCCCGAAGAGGGGAACAGGCCCAAAGGAAAGTCCTGATGTGAGGGCCCTGGCCACGCTCCCCACTGCCCTGACACCTAGCCACGYAGTGGCTACTCTGGAGGCCCCACCTGGCGGCGCTGACCATCCGCAGAGCCCTAGGACTGCAGGGTGTGGCCGGCCAGAGGGTGGGGCCTCCGAGGGCGGGTTGCCACGTGCTGTGCACAGCTGCAGTTCTGCTGGGCATACAGCCACCGAGGCCTGCCTGGCCGGCCACGTCCTCACCACTCACCTTTGGGGGTGCTGTGGACAGGGCCCTGCGCTGGGGCCCATGTGTCCTCGGCCTCCCCCCCATCGTCCTCGCTGTCTGACGAGCGTGAGGAGGCATAGGAGCTGCTCTGCTCGTCCAGCGATAGCTCACTGTCCGAGTCCGAGTCGGGGCCTGTGGGGTGGTCAGGCATTGAGGCTCAGGTAAGAAAGCCACCTGTGCTTCCTCCAAGGCATGTCCTCCACTGGCTGTGGGGATGTGGACACATGAGAGCGACCTGGGCCCCTGCAGCCATCAGGGGAAGCCATACCATGAGGTTTCTTAGAGCTCCTGGGGTTGAAGGAGGAATCCGGTTCCCCATGGCCACCACGTGCAGGCCCAGAGGACACGTTGAGCTTCTGGACCCCTTCGTCCCTAGAGAGAAGTGAAGGCTCAGCACTTGCTCAGCGGAATAGATGACAGGCCCTGATGTGACCGAGCACTTTCTGCCTGCACACCATGGCCACTTGGGGTTCTGGAAGATTCCCCCAAACCGCCCCAGCTACATTTTGATCAATGGTAACTACACAAATGAAGAGTCTCCACATCAGGGCACGTGGCTGGGACCTTCCCTGCAGGCCAGGCCACAGAGCTGGCTTCACTGCACCCCAAGATGACAACGGACAGCAGCCTGACCTGCTGGTGCTGTCCAGTGAAGCGGTGGACTCGCCCAGGGCTGTGCGGAGCATGTCGGGCCCCTCGCTGTAGGTGTTGTTGCAGTTGAGGGAGCGCTGAGGAGGGAGGACGGGCTGTCAGAGACCACTGTGGAGGACACTGTCCCCTAGAGGCTCCCTCGCCAGCACCTTGGCTGTGCCCCTGCCTGGCCTCAGGAGGGCAGCATCGCAGGGAGCCTCGTGGCAGCTAAGGGGAGAGCACTGCCTGGCCCCAGGACACACCTCCTGCCCACAGCCACTGCTTCTGGGCCGGGGGCCTCACCTGCCCTGGCCCCCGTCTTCCGGAAGCCGTGAAAGAGACCCCACCTAGCTATTTTCCTTCTCCCAAGAGTCATCAGGAGCCATGGCCACGTGTCCAGGGATGCTCTGGGACACCAAAGCCACTGAGCCCCATTTGGTATTTGGTCCTTATAGCTCCCAGCCCCACGATGAGTGCTGCCCAACTCCCAGCCCCACGGGGTGCCCGGTGACCCCACCGTCAGCAGAGTGGCCCTTGTGGTGGCTGAGTCATCCAGGTGCAGCTTCTTCCCAGCAAGCACTGCCCTCAGGTGCTTCCGGACCTCCCTGTTGAGCAGGCAGTGGAGCAGGAGCACAAGGGGACCCTGGAGGGAGGAGGCTCAGGTGGCCTGGTGTACTCTGCTGCCCCGCATGAGTAGGTGCCCCCAGGGCGTGGGGCCAGAGCACAAAGCACCCTGCCATGTGGCCCAGAGGTGCCCGGCCCAGGGCCCCTGCTTTCTTAGGCAGGGGAAGCCCTAGAAACAGCTGGCCTGCACAGGGCAGCAGGCATGTTGGGACAATGAGGGGCCCGCCCCAGGCCATAGTCTCCTGGGGTCATAAATACACTTTCTAGGCAGCCCTTGGTGTAAGCCACAAATAGTCACTCCTCCCGGGGACACAGTGGGATTTGGGCCAGCTTGGCAGTGATGACGGTGGGAGGAGTGACCCTGTCCTGGCCAGCATGACTGTGGGCGGGGACCAGGAAGGCAGGGGACAGGCAGGTTGGAGGCCGTGGCCTCCTCTGGTGCAGCACTGGGGTGCCCCAGGTTGGCTCAGGCAGAGCCCCTGGGGCTCTGTGGACACCTACCTGCAGGCCACTGAAGGCCGCGAAGAGGTAGTGAAAGCCCAGCGAGTCGCCGTTCACAGCCAGCAGACCCAGCAGCCAGGTGGCGCTGATGAGCAGCAGCAGGAGGAAGGCCGTCCTGAGCAGCGAGCTGGGGGCAGGCGGCGGGAGTCCACTCGTCCTTCTGTCCATCCGCCAGCCATACCCCCTCTGTCTGCCGCCCTCCCTCCCTAGCCCTCCCCAAGCATCTTCAGGAGCCAGGGACAAGGGAGGCATGCTCAACACCTGTCGTGGCCTCCCACTGGCACAAATGGATGACAGTCAACAGTGAGCTGTCATGGTGGGGGGGTTAGTGTGTCCACATGAAGTGGTGTCAGGGATGGACAGGGGGACGAGGGAGGAAGGGCGGCTCAGGTGGAGGCCATAGCCTCCACTACTGGCCTATCAGACTTTCCTTCTCCAGGGTGGGAGCTGGCATGGCTCCTGCTGCCCAAGGCCCCTCCTGGGCACCACCCCTTTACCCCACCCCCAGTTGGCCTCCTCTCTTATCAAACAGGTCAGCAGGACCCTGGCCTCCCACAGACACCCCATCACCCCTCTTGACCCCTGCAGCTCCCGGACACACTGCCGCCTTCTCCCACCACCCCTCCTGCTCCCCCACCCTCGACCCTAAGCCCCTGGGGGATCCCCCATACTGTCCCCAGCTCCTAGGCTGCACCCGCCCCAGGCAGTTCCTCCACTCAGGCCTGACGTTTCTGTCGTCACAGCGGAGTTCCAGGTCCCCTCCACCCTGCCTTGACCTGGTTCTTCAACGCTCTCTCCTCCCGTCTCCACAGCCCTGCTGTCCCAGGCCTGGACACTGCTGACCCTCCCCCACTCGGCCCATCTACCGCCAGGGCTGCGGACCCACCCCAGGAGCACACTTGGCCACGACTCCCAGGCCAGGCAGCCAGTGGCAGGAGGGCCTGGCCGCTGGGTGATGCACTCTCACAGGGCTCTGTCCAGCACATAAATTGGACATTCAGGGGCCTCAGGGCCCAGCTGCCCGAGGCTGGGAAGGGCCAGCTCAGCATCAGGTCCCAGCCCACTGGTCAGGGTCAGCCCCACTTACACGACCCCTTTCCTCTCATAATAATGGTGCTTTCTTTGGCAGGAAACCTTTGCGGACAGGGCAAAGACGACCGTATTGATCTGGGAAGAAATAAGGGAAACAAAGTCGGGGCGGGCTCTTCGTCTCCACCTAGAGACGCCCACAGCMGCGGCTCCTGGAGCTCTCCACCACATCTTGGGAAGCTGTGGCTGCGTTAGAGGCCTCAGCCCCAGCCTGAGGAGGCTACCCTGGGGCCAGGCTTCTGCCAGCCTGAGTGGGGACTCTCCTGCTGGCTGGACACAGTGGCCTCCTGGTGTGCATGAAAGGTAACCTGAAACCAGTGGGCTGAGGACTGGGCCCAGAGCAGCCCAGAGGATGCAGTGACACTAGAGACCAGCCCTTCCTGCCCAGCTGGCCAGCCCCCACACCCCCTCCAGCCAGGGTGCCCCGGGGCCCAGCATTCTAAGGAAGGTGTCTTCTGCAAGGCCCTGTCACTCACAATGATAACAGCTCCGATGGGCCCCGCAAAGCTCCAGATCAGACTGTCGTGGAGGGAGAGCCAGCAGAAGTCAGGGTTTCCGTAGCCCTGGGGGTCCAGGCCAACCGCCAGTCCTGGACACAGCAGGAGGGCAGAGGAGAGTGAGGGCCACACATCCAGATAGCTGCCTACACYCTGGAGCTGTGGCCGGGGACTCCGAGGGTTTCCAGAGAAGGGCCACAAGGGTCCCTGCACTGGCCTCCTGGGAGGAGGGGCAAGGAGCACGGAGACCCCGGCTGCAGCGGGGAGCCTGCCCAGGCCCTCTGAGCAAGACTTGTCCAGACACCACAGGTGGCCAAGGCCAACGGGCCCAAGACAGGGGGGCAGCTTCCCAGAGAGCCCCAAAGGCTGGCAGTGCCTRGGGAAGGCCTGGTGGCAGGGTCACCATGTGCAGTGAGTGGGTGGGTGAGCAGATCACAGACAGGCCACACATCACACCACACACAAGTGCACACACACAGCACCACACATACACAGCAGGCCACACACCACACATCACACAACACGCCACACACAACATGTCACACATGCCACACACACATTTCAGACACAACACGCCATACACACAACACAACACATACAGGTGCACACATGCCACACACAACACACCACACACATGCCACACACATGTCACAATGCCACACACAACATGCCACACACATGTCACACACACATGTCACACATGCCACACACAACACGCCACACACATCACACACAACATGTCACACATGCCACACACACAACACACCACACACAGGTGCATGCACACATGCCACACACAACATGGTACACACACACACGCCACACTCAACACGGCACACAACCCCTCACTGGCAACTGCTATACACACGGCATTCTCACATCACCTACGTAGTGTCTTTCKAACCACTGGTGACAAGCTGGGCAAGGACAGCCTGTCCATGTGGCCCGTCAAGACGAGCCTGGGAGCCCATCAACACAGACCTCAGATGGGACAGAGGAACAGGGTGCTTGCATCACCCTCAACTCCAGCTGGCTTGGTCCACACCCTCCCGATGCTCTCCACACACAGATCTTAAAGACCATGTCCCCTGCTGCTCAACCCCCACCCTGGGACCTCCCACTGCGCTCAGGAGACAGACCTGGTGCTTTGGTGGCCTGCCAGGCAAGTGTGGGGCCTGCCAGCCACACTCCCTGCTGGGGTCCCCCCCACCCCCCCGCCCTCACATTCCCCACCCTCCAGTATAAGTGGCACTTGCTCCAGGATGCCCCCTGCCTGGCTCCAGGCAAGAGCAGGTCCTAGGAACACCCCACCCGGCTCTGGGCCCCTTCAGCACAGGGTCTGCCCAGGGCAGAACCTCGGGCTGCCACTCGTCACCTCCGCTCTGAGCGAGGACTCCCATTTGCCTCCTCCCTTGCCCGCGTCTGGCCTGGAAGGAGCTCTCTGCCAAGGGCAAGGAAAGGGACGCAGGCCCGCCTCTCAGGGACGTCGGCCACAGCGCAGACCTGGACATCCTGGGCCTGGCGGGCGCTGCTGTCAGCCAAGGCCTCGTCTGCCTGAGGCTCCTGGGGAATCTAGGGTCTTTCCGAGGAGACKCGAGCGTCAGAACGTGTTTTAAAGTCAGTGAGAATGTGCGCTTGGCATCTGGACCAGGTCCTGGGGCGGGAGCTCTCACAGGCACAACCCGACAGAGCTGTGGGGGAGGTGGCTTCCAAGACAGCAGGCTCTGGAAAGACCACTCGCCAGATCCCATCTTAGGATGAAAGCCCACTCTGTCGAGTTAGGTGGCCTCTGGGCTCACCCTGCTCGGCCTCCACAGCTCTGGATGAAGGGGCCTCGTCCCAGGGGGCACCCTGGACAGAGCCRGGGGAGTCACATCAGGAGCTGCAGGCCCCGGCGGTCCTGTGGGAGCAGCGGCTGGAAGGCGCCTCAGGTGCAGACACCTGCACAGAGCCCTGGGGTCCTGCCACCCGGGGTCAGCACTTCCCACTGTGAACAGGGGAGGGCCGTGCACCAGGCAAACACCCACTTCCTGACCGCAAGGAGGTGCCGCTGCTCCACGCTGCTCCATGCTGCTCCCTGAGCATCCCCTCATCCAGCTACTCGCCACTGACCATCCTCCCCMTCCGTCCACCCACTCACCACTGACGCACCTTCCATCTAGCTGCCCACCCACCACCTACTGACCCATCCCCCCATCCCCCACTCGTCCCCACGCACCCAGTGGCAGGCATGGAATTTCCTGTTGGTGCCAGGCAGCCTCCCCTAGGTGTGCAGACTGCCCGGGGGGCCAACAGAGACGGAGGCCCTTCCTGCCTGCTCGTGGGGGCCGCTGGCTCCTGGGCCTCTGGCCGTGGTGGGTTGGAAACTACACTCCCACGCAGGCCGCCCTGGCAGGGCTGCTCTGGGCATGCTCACCTGTGATGATGGCCGGGATGCCCCAGCCCACCACGTAGTAGAACCTCATGGGCCCGGCGTCTATGTTTCGCACCTCGGTCAGCATGCGGTAGACGTGCAGGCTCTCCACCAGTGTCCAGGCGAAGGTGCTCATGTACACGTAGTGCAGGAGGATGGCGACCACTGTGCAGAGGAACTGTGCAGAGAGGGCACGGGCTCAATGGGCACCCCAGCGGGCATGCTGCAGAGGTGTCCGATTCAGGGACAGCCCCGCGGGGCACAGGGATTGCCAGGAGAGGTACCCGGCTCAGGGCACCCACAGAAGCCAAGGCCCAATAGGCGTGGGGGGACCAAAAGGACACTCTGCGAATGTGGGGCTCTGTTGCGTCTGCAAAGGGAAATGGAGCTGTCTCTGTGGCTCTGCTGAGACTCACCAGGCACGCCAACAGCCCAGGGCCTCAGGCCCGAGATGAACTGGGGCAGAGGGAGGCATCTAGGGCCCCGCTCAAGGGACCCTCCTGGGCGTGGACCACTGCCAGGGTCCACTGGCCATGGCTCAGGGATGAGGGCTGCAGAGCACTCAGATTTAATTTAAAGAGAAGCTAGAAATACGTATTTTATGTGATGGTCCCCAAATTTTAAATATTGGTATTTAGATTTTAAAAAGCACTGTGGAGCTGAGCCTGCTCAGGATGAGGGTCCCAGACTGGGATCTCGGCTGTACCCACCTCTGCTGACCCTACATGAGCTACCATGGCAGAATCTAGGCAGTGACCTCACGTCCCAAAAGAACAAGGTCATACGTACACAGCACACCCCAGCTGCTGAAGAGGCAAGTTCAAGCCAGTCTCAGCCACTTAGTGAGGCCCTGACTTAAAAAGTAAAAAGCCCTGGGGGTGTGGCTCAGTGGTAGTCACCCAGGGTTCAACCCCTAGAACCAACAAACAAGGTCCTTATATTTTCTGTTGAAATAAGAACAGGATGAGAGGATATGTCCTAGCTGGGCAGTGCTGTGTCTGGCCAAGGGGCAAGTGCAGGGAGAAGAAAATAGTGTCCACATGGGGGCTAACAGACATGGGCCGCCCTCCGGGATTTGGGGAGAGGTACACGCATAGGCACCGCTGGCACCGCTTTCCCTGAGAGCAGAACAAAGACGGCCTCATGTCCAGTAAATCACTCCAGCCAGCCAGGGCCTGGGAGACAAAGGCCTTGCCCAGAGAAGGGACTGTGACTTTACAGAAAACCCGTAAAAGTTGCCCGAGGCCAAGCCCGGCCCCCCCCACCCTCCGCATCTGTGCTGCTGCCACCAGAAAGGTCTCGTTCCGGGGGCGGAGGAGCCAGGAAGGAGCCGCCCTCAGCATTTCACACCTGGAGTCTGGTGGCATGCGTGGCCGCCCCTTTCCCTCCACTGAAGCACACTGGAAGGGCTCCAGAGTGACCCATGTGGCTTCCCACCCAAGCCCTCCCCCGCTTAGACGCAGAAGGACCRCTGCCCGGCAAGGAGCATCCTCTGGAGAGTTTAGAGTCACTGAGTCCTGTTCCTGTCCCCTCCGGCTCCTCTCTGTGTGCCTACTCAACGGCCTCCGCTCCAGATTCAATTYCCTGGCCGTCTGGGCTGGTCAACCTCCCACCCTCAGGCTGCCCAAGGGCTCCCCAGGGCAGGCTGTGTGCACTCTTGGATGGATACAGACCTCAGGATGACCCGGTCCCCAGCTTATGCTGAACCCCTTTTCATTGGTGGCAACTGGTGGTCCCCCTCAGCCCCGCCCTGAACAGATGCAGCTCTTCACCCGACACCAAGAGTGGGTGGCAGGTCATGCTGYGACCGTGTTGGCGGTGTAGAGCACAAGCTGCCTGTGCAGGACTTGTGTCCAGGGACAGGAAACGCTGGGGCAGCTGGATTTTCCTCTAAGTTCTCGTGGGAGGCAGAACCGMGGGAGTCTCATCAACTTCCCTCGGATCCAAAGCATCAAGTCTGGCTTCCTGTAGGTGGATTTTTGACTCATTTTGCCAGGCACATAAAAATCTAGAGGGTCTCTGCCCTCCTGGCGAAGTGGCCTTTTTGTCACCATATAGTGACCCGTTCTTCACTGCTGCTGCTGTCTACGCTCAGGCACGCAGACCTGGCCACGCAGACCCGCAGGCTACTCTGGCTGGCACTCACAGGCACGTCCTCCTTCACGGTCCCCATCTACACATCTCCCAAGAGTCCCATGGGCGTCTCTGAATCCAACCAGACAATTCTAAGTCACTCTGAGTCAACTGCTTACCTTTGTCAGAGGCCATCAGACCTGGCTGCATAGAGGCCTTGCTGGCCTCGGACGTGGCCACGRGCGGAGTGGGAAAGCCCTGGCCCACTTCTGGCCAGCCCGGATGCTTCCGTCTCAGCACCCCTCCCCCTGCAACTCCAGATAGCTGCCTGCGGAGGTCCCTCCAGCTCTCCCCCTCRTGGCTCCCGGAGTATAGGAGCATCTCCCTGGGGACTCCCAGCTGTGGGGCCCAGCTCCAGGAGGACAGCGGGAGGGTGGGGGACGGGCTACTCTGCCCCCTGGGGTGAGTGTGCTCCTCCCAGGTCTTCACAAAGAGCCACTTCCTGCTGGAAAGGTGAGCTCGGACCCCACTCCCCTGCCTCTCAGCCGCCTCCCTTGGGCAAGTTCCTCCAGGGTYGGTGCCCTCAGGCTGGCTGTGCATCGCGCCTCGGTGGCCCAGCACCCTGCGCTGGCATTAGCGTTGGGGCCACAATTCAGGGGAGTCCGGTTCACCCTGAAAAGACCAGTTTTCCTCAAGGGTAAAAACCCGAGGTGCAGGCAGGTGCTGGTCCCCACCTGCTTCAGCAGCTCCCGTCTCCGTGGTCATCCCCAGGAACTGGCCCTTCCCAAGTCAGGGGCTCAGAGGCTTAAAGAGGGAATCAGGGTCTTGGAGAAGGTGGCCTGGTATCATCCCTGCGTCCAGCAAAAACTCACTGGCTTTGCTCATGTGGCCAGGTGCCCCCCCACAAGCTGCCGMGACACCATGAACTTCCCCGACTCCTGAGTCCACACAGGCCCAGGCCCACGGAGCCCCCAGGAGCCCTACCACCCCTGTGTGTGGATCTCACCAGCTCGAGAAGCGTCTCCGCCTCCTCTCCTCCCCCATTTGCTCTTCTGGAAAGTTCCTTCTGCTTTGGTCCTCTGTATCCCCGGACCTCCCTCCCCCAAGTCCTGCTGTAGGTGTCTTGCTCGCTTTGGGGAAGCCTGTGGCTTTCACCGCAAACAGGAGGCGTGAGGGGCTGGACACACTGTGTGTCCTGGACACTCCGTTTCCTCCTTTGGTGACTGCACCCAGGGTGCTCCACCACTGAACCTCATCCCAAGTCTATTTTGAGACAGGGTCTCGCTAAGTTGCTGAGGGTCCCACTAAGTTGCCGAGACTGGCCAGAATCGCAATCCTCCTGCCTCAGCCTCTGAGCAAGGGCTGAATCTCAGCGTGCGCTGCTTTGCCCGGTCACAGGTTCTCACCAGTAGCCGCATCCTGAGTCTTGAGGCTGTGAGAGTGCTCTGCCTGYAGAGCATGGGACTCTGGGACTTGGYAAATGACTGTCATTTCCTATGRGGTCACTAGTGTGAACGGCCACAGGGTCAGAATGAATGTRCACAGAGTCCTAGGCCCTTCTGATGGGGCGCCTTGGGGCACCCTTCTGGGGACGGTCCCACCCAGGGGCAAAGCGATGAGTCCACCTGGCTCAACCCGACAGTCCCAACTGCCCCCAGGACTCCCAGCCRCACTGAAAGAGCAGGAGCGCCCAGCTCCTCCTCCTGGTGTGGGCCTCTCCCCGGGAGGCTGGGAGGCTTGCCTCCAGGACGTGATGGCCCACGTGGCTCGGGTTCTCACCGGGTTCTCAGTCTGGTTGATCCCGACCACAAAGACCAGCTGGGAGCAGAAGATGGCCCCGATGAGATTCTTGTGGATGCTGTGCAGGTTGGAGCGCAGTGTCCGGACCAGGGTGAGCAGSATGAAGGCCACCAGCAGGGCTGCCAGGGACAAGGACACGGCGGCATAGGTGATGATCTTCAGGGGCAGGACCTCCCCGTGCTGCGGGTGGGTTGGATAAAGCAGGAGATGGTGAGGTTGGCTCTCACTGAGTTTTGCGTGACAGAGGCCAACAAGGTGATGCGTCACCAAATTAGCAGAGACTGGCAGGAACCATGTGGCTATGACCTGGCTCTCGGGTGGCACAGGTGGAACAAAACCCAGTGATTAATCTGGAATGAGGACCAACTGTGGAGGGCAGTGGAGGAGACGGCCACACAGCCACGGGCACGGGCACACACCGGGCCTCGGACTGCACCCTTAAATRGTCACAAGATGGATATTTTGCTACATTAAAAAAAGGGGGAAAATAATCTACCAAACGTCACACGACACCTGTCATCAGGAGACGCTCGGCCTGCCCACCCGAATCCGGAGCCGCAGAGGCCTCTGGGGGACACGGTGCCCGAGGACACGCGGTCGGGCGGTGGGCGCTCCCCGGCCTCCTGTGCTCTGTTTTACTTTACACTGTCACAGATTCACTCCTCTGCYCGAACGTCACTCCCTCTTCACAAGAAGCTGGAGGAGTTGGAACAGCACGTGAAGGACCGTGGCTTTCCTGGGGTCTGTTGTGTGCGAGGGACGCTCACAAACCTGCCACGTACCCTGTTCCACACCAGGCCTAGATCCAGCCCACGAGGCACGGCCAGCACTGTCCTCATCCCAACAGACGGGAAAACTAGTGTCGAGAGGCCGAGGGACCTGCCAGAGGCCGCTCAGCTGGCCGGGTGGGACTCCAGGCGCCAGGGACTTGGGCCAACAAGAGCTCCAGTCACACGGGCAGGGCCTTCCTTCCCGGACCCTGCCTGCCCCTTAGTGTGAAGCCTTCTGTGAGGTAGGAGTGAAGGGACCCCCGGCCCAGGCCACGCAGATGTCTCCACAGTGGTTCGTCTCAGACTAACCCGCGTCACCTCCAGGTGGCTTACCACTTATCTCTCGTGGTCAATGAATGTGTCTTTTGTAAAAATTGTGGAAAATACACACAGCGGGGGTTCACCACCTAGCCATTTCCCACCGGGCGCTTCCTGGGCATCTGCACAGTGTGACTCCTGCCCAGGACGCAGGTTCCGGGTTGCCTTAGCCTCCCAGTGTTCAGCACCTCCTGAAGGTGCTGCCCGTGACACRGAACCATGAGCAGGCTGTCTGGCAGGGCCCTGGGAAGCCAGCACGGGCAGGCCAGGAGGACAAGCGCTCAGGGACTGGGCCCAGAGATGCTCCTTCATGGCTCCGAGTGCCTGGAATCCTGGAGCCTACAGCACCTGACTCCCCTGGGGGCCGGGGGTCTTCAGAGACCTGTGGCTCTGTGGCACCCTGGGCACAGGAGCCCCTGACCACTGCCACTGCATTCTTCTGCCCCAGCTTCATCTGAGTGTTGCCCAGCTTCCTGGCCACAGGAACCTCACCCCTATCTAAAGACCTYGGTGATCCGCCTCGGGGCTGGCCCTGGTGCCCCTGCTTGGAAGTGCTGCCTGCCACAGAGGTGGGTGCCGGGAGAGGGCGCAGACGCCCTGGGGGCCAGGCTGCAGCTTCGCCTGCACAATACACGAAAGCCACTCTCCTGAGCACCTGCCACCTGGCTCACATCTCCACAAAGGTGCAGAAGCCAGAGCCCCTGGACACCAGAATGGCCTTGGCAGGGACAACAGTCTGGCTCCTGGGCCACATCCCAGCTCCGAGCAGGTGACAGGTGAGGCCACCCTGGCCTCTGCCTTGGGTTCCTGGATGCCAGTGTCCCACACGGCCCAGGCTGGCCTTGTGCCACCTCCCTGCCTTGGTAAAGGAGGCCAGGCCAGGTCCTCCCAGCCTGCCCTGCCCAGGGCCCCACGAGGTGTGGCTCACATGCTCAGGCTGCTGAAGACGTCGGAAGTCAAAGATTATCTGCCTGTCACTGAGGACCTGACCCCTTGGTCCTTGGGGCCGGTGTGTGTGGCCCGCAGTGACACCCGTGTGGGACATGCCAGCCTTGCTGTCTGGCCCGTCTTTCAAAGTAGATGCAGAAACACTGTCTAACAGAAGGCTGGGACCTGCTCTGAAGGGAGGTGACCTTAGGGTCCACTGCTGCAGGTCAGGTGTTCAACCTGGGCTTAGGGTCCACTGCTGCAGGTCAGGTGTTCAACCTGGGCTCTTCGGAACCCTTGAGGTGGGGTGTGGGGCGCCCCAGATTCAGGCTCACGGGCAGCAGGGTTTGCTCACAGCGCTGAGGAGGAAGCGTGGTTTGGGGGCTCAGCCAACTTCCTGGGGCCCGTGGGCACACTTGTTGGTGGGGCGGTGGCTGTGGGATGCCCACCTCGCGCCTGGAGATGTCCATGAGCACCGCGCAGCTCGCGGCCCGGCTGCACTGGCACACCACGTGGGTCCGGTTCCTGGACAGGAGCTCGCAGCCCTTGGCCGACCAGCCTCCAGTCCCACCGATGCTGCAGAGAAAGGGGACCAAGGGGTGAGACGGTCCCCGAAACCGTGACACGGCCAAGGCGCAGCAGCCTTCCCTGGCCCTGGCCAGCTGGACCCTGCCGGTGGGAGTGGGCCAACGCAGAGCAGCCCTGCGTGTGTGTCCCATGACCTCACCGGTGGCCTCTGCCGTGTCCCCTGCCCCCTCACTGCACGGCCGGTGGCTAGGACAACAGCTGTGCTGCCCCTGACATCACGGAGCACTCGTCCCCTGGTGGCTGCCACCTCTCACTAGCACCTCTCCAGATGGAATGGTCCACATCACAGCGGAGAAACCCCAAGGAGCCTCGCGTCCGCTGTGCGCCTGTCGCCAGAAGCGCCTCCGTGGCACCATGGCCACTGGCCCCCCGCAGGCCTGAGTCCCGGCCATCTTAGAACTCACTCCTACGTCGGCYGCACTTTCCTGGGCAGGTTGCACCGTGTTTTATGGGGCTGCCTGGAAGTCAGGGCCCTGTTACTCCTCCCGTTTCAGGAYGGGGAGCCCCAAATCACAAGCTGTTCTGGGCCCTGCCCCCGATGCTGGGAAAGTCACGTAACCTCTCTGATCCCGAATTTACTCATCTGTGAAATGGGCCGTGACCGTTGGTGCGCTTGCCAAGGGTGCTCAGATCTGGGATAAAGGAGCCACATAAAGCAGAGGCAGACCACTAGAGCCAGAGCTAATTGCCAGGATCCAAACGAGGGACCAAGGCAGACGTCATGCCCAGCAGMCGCGGGCCAAGGCCAGATGCCATCGCCTCCCACTGGGCGCAGGCCCCTCTGCCGTCTCCTCTGAGAGCCAGACAGGCCGGGGGCGGCTTGGCGAGTGTGTGGAAAGTCCAGGTGCATGAGCTCTCGCTGCCAAGCCGTCYGTGTGCCCCACAGGAGCCCGCTTGCTCAGCAGGGCCAGCACCCGGCACGGCCCCGCGGTGGCTGCCCACTAGTCCAGAGGACCCAYGCCACAGGAGGTGGCCCTGTCACATAGGAGCTCCTAGGTGCGCAGCTCGGGCCTCGCTTCAAGCATGAGGGCGGGCCTGGGGCTTGGCTCTCTGGCAGCCCCCAGCTCTCCCGGTGGAGAGGCGACCACCATCAGGGTGCAGATGGCACTGAACCTGGTGAGGGGAGCGTTCCTGCGCACACCGGTCCCACCAGCGTCCCCCCACTCCAAGACAGCACCACTGAGCAGGAACTAGAGGAGAAAAAGCCAGCCCCCCACAGAGAGCTCAGAACCTCAAGGCCAGGGGAGGAGGACGGGCCTCAGAGCCAGTCTCGTGCGAGCAGGGGCAAAGGCGCAGCCCCACGTCTCCCCGGCACGCGGGGGCTTCTCCTGGCTCCTGTGGGTGCTCCTGCACACAGGRTGCCTGACAGCCTCCTGAACCTGCTGCGGGGGTGGGGCGCCGAGCTGGCCAAAGGCCAGGGACCCCCGGGGAAGGGGCCACAGCTGGGGCGCTTGGGCCTGGCCGAGTCCCATCGCCCTGTGTGCTCAGAACTCACCCCCTAGGCTCAGCCGCAGAGGCCTGGGCACTGGTGTGGGTCGGCACCTCTGAAGTCCCCAGCGGGCAGCCCGCCTCTGCCTCAGGCCCCTGCGTGCCTGGCTGTGAGTCTGCATGTGAGTCTCCTGGTGTGTCTGCATGTGTGTCTGCGTGTGCGTCTCCGTGTGTGTCTCCGTGTGTCTGCATGTGAGTCTCCTGGTGTGTCTGCGTGTGTGTCTGCGTGTGTCTGCATGTGTGTCTGCGTGTGCGTCTCCTGGTGTGTCTCTGTGTGTCTGCATGTGAGTCTCCTGGTGTGTCTGCGTGTGTGTCTACGCGTGTCTGCATGTGAGTCTGTGTGTGTGTCTGCGTGTGTCTCCGTGTGGCTCTGCATGTGTGTCTCCATGTGAGTCTGCATGTGTGTCTCTGTGTGTCTGCATGTGTGTCTGCGTGTATGTCTGTGTGTGTGTGTCTGTGTGTGTCTCCATGTGTGTCTGTGTGTGTCTGCGTGTATGTCTGTGTGTGTGTGTCTGTGTGTGTCTGTGTGTGTCTGCGTGTGCGTCTGTGTGTATCTGCATGTGTCTGCATGTGTGTATGCGTGTGTCTGCATGTTTGTGTGTGTATCTGCGTGTGTGTCTGCGTGAGGAGGCTCCGACACCCACGCAGGCAGCACGGGGGGCGGAGCTCCTGGCCACCAAGGCCAGAAGATGGTCCAGGAGTCCTGCCTTGGCTGGGCCTCGGGGTGTCTGCAGCAGGAGGTGGCTGTCCCCGGCCCTAGAGTGGCACTTACTCCAGAGAGTGGTTCCAGAACACACAGACRGGCTTGGTTCGCTCCTCCGTCTCCAACAGGGCGAACTGCACCAGGACTGGCCTCTCCAGGGGGCGGGACAGCGGGGCCCCCTCACTGTGGAGCATGACGCTCACCACCGGCGTGTTGATGACCGGCCGGTTCGGCAGCCTGTGGCAGAGGAGTGAGASCAGGGGACAACAGTGAGGAGGCCACATCCCTTTAAAAGAGTATGAATGCCAGGGGACACGGATCAGACGGGCAAGGAGTCACGGTCCCTGGGCACACACGGTGGCCCTGTTCTCAGGCACAGGAGACGCGTCACCTCCGGGCCACACGGGGGCTTCAGAAATTGACAAACGAACAGAAAATTCATGTACAAAGATGTCAACGGCCCAGCTGGAGCAAGGGAGGGCCAGGAGCCCAGGGCAGGCCCTGGTCAAGTGACTCAGCCCACGGCACCCCCCCATCCAGTCACCAGGGGATGTGACTCTGAGGTCCACAGAACCAGGGGGTATCTGGGAAATGACCTTGGGGTTGGAAAGTATGACCTTGGTGGACACCCTTAGTCAGACTTGAGGCCCCGGAGGTAGAAGACACATGGTGAGGCTCGTACTGGCCAAGTGACCCTTGGTGCTGATGGCAGGGGGCAGTGAGCAGAGGCTCCGACGCCACAGCCTCAGGTGAGGGGTGGGGCAGGGCAGACCCTCGGAGGCACCAAGTGGGGTGTACTCTGAGGCACCTCTGGGCACAAGGGCCAGGGCAAGCCAAGGTGAAGGTCATAATGTCCCAGCATGCAGTGCCCATCTGGCTGGCCCACACCTCTGTGTGAGGGACACCACGGGGCAAGGTCCCGGTCTTTGGCGAGGTCATGGTGTGATACTGTTGTGATGACAAAGGTGATCCGGATTCGGACTTGTGGACCCTGGGGGAGCAGGCCCGCCCCAAGCCCGGGACCCTGGGGGAGCAGGCCCTCTCCAGCCCCAATCCCTGGCCTCACCGGAGGCTGCGGCGGTCAGGGTCGTAGTGCTCAGGCAAGAGCTGGCCCAAGGTCCTGTAAATGATGACCAGGGCGACAGCAAACTGGCTGGGATCCTCCGGGTGTCTCCGGCGCCTGCTGACGTGGCCCTCTCTCTCAGTCCCAGGCCCCGGTGGCATCGTCGGCAGCGTGGCCCTCCAGGCTGGCCTCACGACGGGGCCTTCTGCAAGGTGAGCATGAAGCTGAGGCCATGCACCTGTGTCCCCACCATGTCCTTCCACCTCTGCAAGTGCTTCTGCACACTGACAGCCRTCCCCGGAGAGAGCACGGTGCTCCTCGGAAAGCAAACACAGGTCACTGTGTGGCCAGCAAGTCTATTTGGGGGTTTATTTATTCAYTTATTTTTATGTGGTGCTGAGGATCCAACCCGGGGCCTCACCCGTGCTAGGCGAGCGCTCTGYCCCTGAGCCCCAGCCTAGCCTGGCTGTTTTGTTTTGGTACCAGGGATGGAACCGCGGGGCACTTAACCACGGAGCCACACCCCCCACCCATTTTATATCTCAGCTTGAGGCAGGGTCTCACTGAGTTGCTTAGSGCCTCGCTGAGTAGAACCTGCGATCCTCCTGCCTCAGCTTCCCTAGCGGCTGGGATTGCAGGCGTGAGATGTTCACCCACGTTCATAGCAGCAGAATTCACAAGAGCCCCCAAAGGAAGCCAGAGTCCACCAACAGAGGAGTGGGTCACATAATGTGGTCCACTCGGATGAGCATGCCACGCAGCCCTAAAAAGACAGGCACCCTGACACCTGCACATGCGACGTGGACGGACCTCAAGGACAGTGTGCTCAGTGAGGCACGCCTGCTGCAGAGTGGCAACTGCACGGCCACCTGGGTGAGGGCCTGGAGGGTCAGGTTCATACAGCCACACGGTCACGGGTCGGGAGAGGGACGGGGAATCGCTGTTCAGAGGGTTGTTCRGATTTGCCAGGTGAAAAGCGCTCGAGCCGGGGCCCAGAACCTGACTCACTGGAACTCCCGACACGCACACTGGAAGCGGAAAGGCGTGCCGCGTGCCGGGCGCACCTGGTGACCCCAGCGACTCCGGAGGCTGAGGGGGGAGCATGGCCAGCTCGAGGCCGGCCTGGCACCTTAGCGAGACTGACTCAGGAGGGAAAGGAGGTCTGGGGCGCGGCTCAGCGGCAGAGCGCCCCTGGGTCCCTCCCAAGCCCTGGTGAAGACGACTTCCACATCAGGGACGCTGCACCGCAGAGGCCAAAGAGCAACGGAAGTCGTGTGATGGTCAGCTGATATCCGTCCCCCACCTGCTCCTTGTCCCCACCCAGGGAGCCTCGGGAGGACATGGACATGTGCCTGTGTGGGTTCYGCCCCAGGCTTTATCTCAGGCCTGTGTGGGCGTCCAGGTGCACGTGAGGCAGGCATGCCAGCTGCATTGGGTAGCAGGCGACGTCTTGCCCGCAGCAGGGGACGCGGGCACCAAGCTTGGCAGAGCACGCTACCTCGCCCCTGCACGTTACCTAGGTCCCGTGAGAAGGGAGCACAGCTGCCCTGGGGGCTGATGGCAGCGAGTGACCGCCGCCCCGGATGGTCAGTGGGGACAGTAGGAATGCCCAGGCTGCAGGTTCACCTTTTCTCTCGGGAGGTTTGAAGACGTCGGCTGGGAAGGACACCGAGGACTCCAGCTCCCTGGGGAACTCATCCTGAATGTCCTCGAACCGCGGCACCCGGGCACCCGTGAAGTTGAACTTGTCGAAGACGTCAACTGCAAGAACTGGGGACAGTTTTCTCAGTCACATACAACGCCAGGCCTTCCTGAGCCTGCCTTCACCGTGCCCACGACCGTCCTGCCCAGTTGTACCTCCCTGCCTCCGTTCAGCCTGCTGAGCTGGCAGCAGAGCACCTGAGGGGACATGAGAAGGGGAGACGATGCCACTCGAGGTGGCACCCAGCACCGTCTCACACACCTCTGGGTGGGCAAGCCGGCCATGCTGGCCGAGCAGTGGAGCCCCCAGCCCCACACGCAGATCCCGCCACTCCCTGCAGCCCTCCAGGTGGCAGACAGGCCACAGGACAGAGACGGAACTGGAACCCTGACCCTGAGGGAGCCTGGGCTGGCATCGCCCGAGCCTCTCTGCCTGAAGACGGCCTGCAGGGTCCTGGTGAGCTCGAGGCTGTCCGACTGTCCCTCTGTTGGGCCGGTGACACCGCTCTGCACGCATGGGCCCCCCAAGTGATCCCGTCCAAGCCAACACTCCYCACGAGGGCAGTGTCCCTCTGGCTACCTGCAGGAGCGAGGGCCAGGCTGGGCGGGCACACTGGGCCTCCGGAGGGGAGAGCCCGGAACATGCCCAGGGGACAGCCTGCGGCTGGCAGGGCTCTGCGGGGTCAGATGTGCTGCAGGCCTACACAGGGTGGGCCTGCGCTGTCGGGGTGGGGACCGGCTGTCCCACCTGCAGCTCTCTCTGCCTGGAAACCACCCTGTGAAACCCCAGCCCCAGGTCGCGTGTCCCCATGCTCAGGCTGCTGTGGCCACGAGGTGCTGGTCCCGAGACCGCTTGGCTCTGGCCAGCCTGTGCCCCTGCCTCTGCCCCGAGACTGCCCATCTGTGCCAAGTCTGGAGGGCTCTGCTGCCCCGGCAGGGTGCACTGCAGGAGCCCCGGCACCCACGCCTCCCCGCAGGCTCACACCTGGACCCGAAGACCACAGGCCAGCACGTCCACCCATCAGCCCCGTGCTGGCCCAGCCTCTGGAGCACCATGTGTTTCTGCAGATCGTCCAAAGGCCCTTGACCATGGGCAACTCCTCCCACTGACCACTGGGAGACRGAGGCCAGGGTCACTGGCTCTCTCTTGTAGAGAGGCCGGGCTGGGTGGTGACCCACGGCCTCGCCCCAGGACTCGGCTCCCAGGACACCTGGGCGTCCTGGGGCCCCACCCTCGGGGGTGCTGCCCTGCAGCCCTTACTCATGTTGGCGGTGACGATGACAAAGGGCCGCAGGTAGGTCCTCCTCAGGTTGCGGGCCACGTTGCTGAAGTAGGCTTCGAAGTGCTGCAGCAGCCGCGCGGCGCCACCCTCTGCCCGCTGGATCTGCTCCCACGCAGCCCGGGTGGCCGGGGCCAGGAGGGCACTGCCCGTGTGAACAACATCCTGGCCACACAGACACCATGCTCAGTCTCGCTATGGAGTCCGGCCGTGTGACTAGAAGGCCATCGKCCCCAGGCCAGTGTCGGGGAGGTGGCCTTGGAGGCCAGGGGCCATCAGGAGGCGCCCTGCCAGGGCTCCACCATGTGCCCTGAGACGCTGACAGGGGAGACATGCTGGAACCCCTGGATCCCTGGGGAGGGCAGGCAGCAGGACCCCCAGGCTCGGCTGAGCAGGAGCGTGACGGGCCCTCAGATGTGTGGCCAGGGCTCAGCCCGAGACAGGAACCAGGAAGGAATAAAACACGAAGAAAAGCTCCTCTGGCCCAAGTCCCCAGGCCAGGCTCCAATCACCGCGAGGGGCCTGGCTGGGCCCCCAGTGCTGTGCACGGCTGGGGGTGGGGTAGAAGGGTCCCTGGGGGCACAGSACGGGGCCTGGAGAGGAGCCAGGGACAGCTTGGAACACTCCAGAGTGGCTCACAAGCATGGGGACAGAAGGGCACCTCCAYGGTCACCCCAGCACACGAGGGGCGGGAGAGGCTCTGCAGGAGGTGCCCGAGCCCCCCGCTGGGGCCCACCGCCTGCCAGYCGCACCCCTGGGCCAGCCCCAGCTCTCTGTGCCTCATTCCCTAACCTGGCRAGTGGGTGGGTGGCGAGCCACGCGTTCGGCCGTGGGGGAGGAAGGCGGGGTCAGCTGTACCAGCCGGGGGAAGGCTGGTGCCCTGGGTGCCCCCGACTGCCAGCGGCAGGGGCTGTCACCACCGGGGCTGGGCCTGCCCTGMGCTGTCCACCTGCTGCCAGCAGGGCGTCGGCTCGGCCAGCCCCCGCGCCCCCCTCACGCCTGGGAAGCCGAGTGCTGCCTTGAGGTGCCTGGGGCTTCCGGCTGCCCAGCACCGTCCCACCCCACGGCCCACCAGCTGGGCTCCCCAGCGCCTCCTCTACCTCATGGAAGTTGGCTTCCCGCGTGGCCGCYAGCTCGAAGCCCTGCTGCTGGCTCTCGTGCTGCAGGACGCGGGCCAGCAGCTGGTAGGCCGTGCGCACGTCGTTGCCGAAGAGCAGGCCTCCGAGCCGCGTGGCGTTGCGCAGCGCCTTCACCAGCCGCAGGGACCCCGCGCCGTCCAGCCGCGACTCGTTGTGGCTGAGCTTCTCGTTCTGGAGGAAGAGAGACCAGGACATCTCAACCGACGCCTGCAGGCCCTTCCTGCTATTCGGGCATCCACCACCTTCCATGGAAGCTTCCTGGTCAGAAAGGAACCCACAGCCCAAGGCCAGGAAAGTCGTCCGACTGAGGACCGTGGCGTGGGAACGAGGTGTCTGCAGGGCTCGGAAGGGACGCCCCAAGATGGAGCAGGGCAACAAAGCACAGCGAGGAACAGAAAGACCCGAGCACCAGCGGGCGGGGACTCGCGCTCCAGAACCCAGGACACCGGGCTGGGCTCTGCAGGCCCAAGAGAAGGGCTTGCCTGTGCCCAGCTCGCCAGCCACCCGACACGCTATGCCAGGGAGGCTGCTTGGCATCTGGCCCCTGGCCTGCAGCACCAGCCCCAGCGATCCAGGGGCCTCTGTGCCCTCACCCCACCTGGGGCTAACCACACACACACACACACACACACACACACACGCACACGCGCACACGGTGCACACACATGCACACGGTGCACACACATGCACACACATGCACATGGTGCACACATGTGCCCTGAGGCTCGGGCCTACCGTGACTTTGAGGTCCACGAAGGAGCCCGTGGTGCAGTTGAAGAGCTCGGGGGGCAGCCAGCCCTTCTCCCCGCTGCAGTGCCGAACCGCGTTTCCTAGGCAATGGGAACATGCCGTGTGCACCTCTTGCCCCTCGATGCCTGTTTAATGCCCATGCCGGAATGCGGTGAAGGGTCCCAGGGCAGCCCAGGCCGGGCAGCTCCACGGCCATGAGCCAACACACATTCCCTTCCTTCGGCCTGGGCCCCGTGCATGACCTCTCGGGCTGACACCAGGCCCTTTGGCTGCCCAGCACATCCATGAAAAGCCAGGAAAGCCACATGCCAGGGCCAGCGGTCACCACACACACCTCGCTGAATTCCCGGGCACCCTGAGGTGTGGACACCCCCATTACCCCACTGCACAAAGAGAAGCCACTACGTGAACTGTGAGTGTGGCAGAGCCAYGAGGGCATCCAGGCTGGGCAGACGGTGTCACGCAGTGTGTCGCCTGCAGTTTCACCAGGCCCAACACGTGTCGTGGCACGTGGCTCACCCTGGAGGGAATGTCACTGTTTCTCCCAGACGCTTTGCCTTGAGACATTTTCAAACGTGGAACATTCCRTGAATTCTGATGCGTGGGTCAATTTGCTCCCCAAAAGGCCTATCTCCGTCTAATCTCCCACCYTGTGGATGCCACGGGCCACAAGACTTACCCACAGATCCCTTGGGGCACGGCACAGCAGCCGGCTGCCCAAACTTGGTCTGCGGCCACCAGATGCCAGCCTCAAACGCTCTGGGACATCCATTGTAGATGACTGGGGTGCAGAGAAAGAAGCCCTCAGYGCAGGACCAGGACACACTCTCCCAGAGCCACACCCCTCACACCTTCCCGCCCCGTGGCCCTGACCCTGGCCCCTTCTGAAGGTCAGGTTTCTAGAAGGTCAGGAGTGTCAGGGGCCCCTGAGTCCAGGGGCGTGCAGACCACCCTGTAGCCTGTCCCTGTGTGTGATCAGAAGATGGTCAGGGGGCAACCGGACCTTCACAGCCAAGCGATGTGACCTCAGCGAAAGGGTTGTCACAGCGGTTGCACTGGCGGCCGATGACGCCGGGCTTGCAGGCACACTGCCCTGTGTCCATGTCGCACGCGCGGCTGTGGGAGCCGTGGGGGAAGCAGTCGCAGGGCAGGCAGGCCTCCTGGGCTGGGGGCTTGTAGTAATTCTCCTGCAAAAGCCGGAAGCAGCACAGGGGACCTCAGAGGCTGGCGAGAGGCCAGCCTCCAGGAGATGTTTCCTGAGCACCGCCAAGGTCCACCTCGCTGGGCACGAGCCGTGGCCACCAACTTCTGGGCTCCTCTCACTGCCTCCGCCCATGTCCAGGGCGGCTCCCTGGGGCCCTTGGTGCCAGGCCCAGGGGCGTTCTCCCAGAAGCACCTCCCACACTCCCCTTCTGATCCGTGCCACGGGCACCTTCCACTTGCTCCGAAAAGAATGAGAGACTCGGTGGAGATCACCGTGAGAGGACGGCACTCAGTTCTTGTTTTAGATGATTGACACATTCGGAGCCATCCACATGCACACTGTGGGGCAGGCCAGGGATGGCCAAGAGCGTGTCTTGAGCTCACAGGCCTGGGCTCACGCCCACTCTGCCCTGGGCTGGCCACCTGGGCTCCCCTCTAGAAAATGGTCTGGGCTGTGGACTTGAGCCATGTCCAGGGGGATGTTGCCGTCCTGACGGAGGAATTCCCACCTCTGGGAAGCTGTGAGCAGGACGGCAGGGCRCTGGTCACACGAGGCAGGCCTGGGGCAGGGGGCCRCCGTGACCCRTTGAGCTGTTTMTTGCAGTACTACTTTTTGTTTTTGWATCATTTTTAGTTGTYGCTGGACCTTTATTTATTTATTTATATRTGGTGCTGRGAATCGAACCCAGGGCCTCGCATACACCAGGTAAGGGCTCCGCCACTGAGCCACACCCCAGGGACCTGCTCTGCCACCGAGCCACAGCCCAGCCCTTGAGATGTTCAGAGCTTCGCCGTCCGCGAGCCGCCAGCACGGGCTCGGTGGAGGACGTGGCCACCTAGGAGGCCCGGTGGTGCTGTAGGCGAACCAGCCTTCACAAGAATGTGGGCTGCTGCGCCGACCAAGTGAGGGGCTGCAGAGCTGGCCAGGGCCTCGGTGCCCAGGGCAGGGTCCCTGTGAGGAGCAGCCCAGGTGGTCCCAGGTCGGGGCCACAGCCGGCTCCTGAGCGCTGACACAGGAGCACGTGTGAGGAGAGGCACGGGGGATGGGCAGGCAGGCACGTGCGGATAGACGGGAGAGTGCGTGGAGGTCCGTGCGTGGGGCTCAGGCCCAGGAGGAGCAGGGCAGCCCGSGGGCCTCACCTTGCACTGGCACTGGCCATTGGTCTTGTTGCAGTCGGGGTCGAAGCCCTGGCTGACAGCACAGTGGCACGGGCCACAGACGGGGTTCCCCCACCAGCCTCTGGGGCACGGGAGGTCGATTCTGTTAGGAAAAGATGGCRGCAGATGGAAGGGTCACCGAGCAGAGCCTCCTGGCAGTGAGAGGACGGTGGTGACCCTCCCCGTCACCTCCCTCCCCCTCCACGTGGCCTCAGTTTCCCCTCCATGGGCTCAGCCCCACCCTCCAGACCCCTGGAGCCCTGTGCCCTACTCCCGGGCGTCAGGGTCCACCCAGGAAGGTTCCACCGTGAGACGTCTTCTTCAGATAACCTCCCTCCTCACCCTTCTCCACCTGGAAGACACACCGGCCACCAGGATTCAGCCACACCAGCGTGGCGGGCACACCTGTCTGTGCCACTCTGGGCTCGAGGACAGCAGCCCCCTCGGGCACACTGAGCCCAGCTGCCCTGACAACCTTTGCCCAGGAGCCACAGTGTCCACCAGCACAACAGATTCTGCAGCATCTTTCGTCCCCCAGGCCCCCATGTTGAACACTGGCCACTGTGCCCACGATGCTCTGGGCAGCCTGGCCCCATGGGACGTGGCCCTCATGTCAGCAGTGAGCAGCCACGTGCCGGGTTTGGGGCACTTGGGGTTGGGGGGCACCGCTCCTGCCTCCCTGAGGAGGACGGGGGTGAGCAACGTCTGAGTGCCAAGGCCAGGCCTGAGTCTCTGCCACCTGTGCTCTGCCCACCCTACCTGTTCCCAAGGTGGACCACACCTGGCATCTCCTGCAGACCCACCTGCCCACAGACGCCTGCCCCAAGAGTGCCCTTCACGCTCCTCCAGCCGACCAGCAACCTGCTGTGCCCCCTGGCGCACCCGGCACACCTACCTGAGGCAGGAACATGACCGGCCAGCGCCCCTGAGCCCCAGAGGACCTGTCTGGTGGACGGCACTTGCAGGGTGCAGAGCCAGAGCCCTGGTGGACCTCCGTCCCTCTGCCCCTCTGCAGCCTGGCGTGTCTGCCACGCCAGGCCCCAGTGCTGGCCGCCGAGGGCTCCCCTGCCCCAGTTCCTCCGCCCAGACTGCATCCCTGGGGGCAGCCAGGACGCCTTCCACCCCAGCCCTGGCCCTGCCCTCCCTGCAGGGGCTCCACAGTCGCCWCTGTTCCTGCCTCGCAGGGCAGGACTTCCTCCCTGTGTCTGCCCCCCAGCTCAGGACAGCACATGCCCGGCTCTGCCCAGGACCGACCCGCTGGGCGCCTCAGGCCGGCCTCCTCCCACCAGTCCTCTCGGCAGCCTTCCGAGGGACTCTGCCTTCAGCCCCGCTGCTCGCCCTTCCCTGCATCAGGGCCTCTCCTGCGAGCTCTCCTTGATGGGGTGCCATGACACCCAGCATGCTGCGGGGCGTGTCTTCCCGTGAGGTCACAAGCCCGAGGGCACAGGTTCCCAGCCAGGGACCACAGCAYGTGCCGGGCTGGGGCACACCATGAGCAGGGCAAGTGTGCCCAGCACTCAGCTGGGCTGCACCCACGTGGCTCCTCACCCGAGGCCGTCTGCAGAGGGCGTGAGCCAGGGGGCCAGAGTCCTGGTGCGTGAAGAACCACGCGGCTCCCGCTGGGAAGGTGTCGACCCGTGTGACCGCACACCTGTGCTCTGCCAGCCACACACTGTGCACATGGCACCCCAGAGGCCCAGGGCGGGTGCAGCTCCCACCCTGGGTACCCTCCACCCCAGGACCTCCACACACATCGAAGGCGACTTCCACAGAGAGCTGTCCACGGTCACATCCGTCTCCCTGCATCTCTCAGGACCCTATCCCGTGCGCGTGGCAGGGCTTCCACGGCTGTGACCTGTGCCACCTGCCTCCAGGGGGAACACGCTCAAACAGGTTCATGCCGGGCGCCCAAGCTACGCTCACTTATTTCCCGTGAAGTTTGGGGACAGACTGCGTTCTGTAACCCTGAGAGAGGAGGGTGAGAGGGGAGGGGCGGGGACCCTGGAGGGGACGAGGCCCCGGCGTGCCCTCCTCACTTGTTCTCGCAGTACTGCCCGTAGTGGCCGGGCCCGCACTCGCACGCGTAGCCCCGCGGGGAGGTGGGGGAGTGCACGCAGGCCGCCAGGTGCTCGCAGGGGTTCAGGTGGCAGACGTCCACACACTTCCTTCCAAAGTACCCTGCGGGGGGGGGGGGGCATGACCTCCAGTGAAGACAGCCCCCGGGGCCTCCCGGTGACACTTCCTGCCCCCAGCTCCCCCCACCAGGGGTGACAGGTGCAGCTGAGAGGACAAGTGGGTGCCCCTGAACTCGGAGGAACACCTGCACTTCTACTAATTCCTTCCTGACTCTCCTCCYGTGCCACGGGACCCAGGTGGCGCATTGCCCGCACCCCGACCAGAGAGGCTCGGGGCTGGTCCTAAGAGGGCAGGCCATGCCTCCAGCCAGGGCGCCCACGCTGCAGGGTCACTCGATGCAACCAGCCCAGGTGCCCCGGTCCCCCCCGTGGGCTCTGGAACGAGGTGCCCACCTCTGTCACAGACGCAGGAGTAGCCGTCCCAGGTGTCGTGGCAGTGGCTGTGCASAGGGCAGGGGCTCGAGGCGCAGGGGTTCTCCACGTCGCAGCCGTCCTTCACCCTGACCTTGAGGGCATCCTTCATGTTCAGGGTGGCGAYGTTGGTGGCCGTCTCCCCCATCCTCACTCCCTGTGTTCACAAAGGGGTCACTGGAGTCAGCCCCGGGCCTCGGGGCTGGAGGAGCATCGAAGGCAGGGGCAGCTGAGGGAAGCCCAGCTTCYGCCCGTCCTGAGGGGACCAGGCGCTCAGAGACCGGCGAGGCGGATCCCTTGGGCAGCAGCTAAGGAAGGAGAGGTCAGGTTTTGCTGCGGGCGGGAGCCAGCCACCGAGGAGCAGCTGCTAGTGGCTGCAGCCACCCAGGTCAGGAAAGCCCAGCAGCCGTCGGGGTGGATGGTGCAGCTGCACCAGGCGGGGGCAGAGGTAAGGGGCCGAAGGTGCAGCAGCAGGCCTGGTTGGCCTGGGGCCAGGGGCTGCAGGGCCAGCACCGAGGGGGACGTGGGGCAGGGTGGGCCTAGCGGGAGAAGGAGTTCCCAGGCTGGACGCCTACTGGTCAAGTCCCTGGTCGCTGAAAACCAACCAGCTGCTGCGCAGGCCGCCCTGGGCCACCAGGGAAGGTGCGCTCCCAACCCCGTACCTGCATACAGCCCCGGAAACCGCGGCGCACGGAGACTTTGTCCTCAGACACACCCCCAACGACAACGCTCCTCATCTTCAACCCAGGAAGCTGGTTCCCGATCTGCACCATGTTCTGTGCACAGAGGAAGGAGGGGCTCTGGGAGCTGTGTCCTCCACCCTGCACCGGGCCCTGTGTGCAGGGGTGCTGGGAGCTATGTCCTCCATCCTGTATGGTGCCCTGTGTGTTGAGGGCCACATCCTCCACCTTCCACCCTGCCCTGGGAGGGAGTGCAGGGGGCTGCGTCCTCCACCCTGCACTGGGCCCTCTGTATGGAGGTGCTGGGGGCTACATCCTCCACCCTACACAGTGCTGTGTTTGTGGAGTGCTGGGGGCTACGTCCTCTATCCTGCACCTGGCCCTGTGCAGGGGCTGTGGAGGTCACGCCCACCGGCCTGGGTACACCTTCCTGCTGGGCTCCATTGCAACAAACCCCAGAGCCTGAGGACACCTGGGCCTCCCAAGAGAGGGCGGCTCACCCTCCACCTTCCTGGGGAGAGCACGGCAGACCTCACGGCCGGGCAGGGCGTGTGAAGGCGGCGAGCGGTGGCCGCGGGCATCCCTCCCACCCCGTAACGGGTGCTGCACTGACAAGCCCCGGGGCAGAAATGAGGCTGGTAGAGCAGGAACATGGTCAGAGCCGTGGGGTCCGGGGAGTCCCAGCCGGTCCTGGGTCCCAGGAGGGCGAGCGCCAGGGACATAGYAGCTTGAACTCTCAGAACGTGGAGCAGGACGACCGAGATCCAGAGGGAGTCGCCAGCCGCTCCCCACAAGTGCGGGTGTCCTGTGACGCGTCCTATGCTGCCAGCGGGGACTGAGGAGCCGGCCTGGGGCAGGTGCCCGCCTGGGACAGCACCTCCCCATCCACGGCCCCTCCAGGACCTGGGCCCACGCTCGGCTGCAGGGCTCCCGCCAGGCTCCGGCCAGCGTTGCTAAAGGAGCCRCTGCCGATGGCACCTCTGGGAGCAGGCGGAAGACCTCCTGGTCCCCAGCAGGAGTGGCCTGCCAGGGTGCTGCGAGGCCGGTGACCGCCACGTGATGTGGATGTGGGAATCCAGCCTGGGGCCCAGAGAGCACCCCCAAGCCCCCCGAGGAGGGGATCTGTGCCACAGAGGGCTCGGGTGCCCCTACCTGGTCCATGCCGTAGTCCAAGGTCAGGGCCACCAGGTACTTGATGTCCTTGCCCTCCTTGGCGCTCCTCAGCTCTATCAACAGGTGGTGCCACTCCCCATCGGTCACGCGAAACCTGGACAGCTGCACGGACGCCACGTCGGAGGGGCTGTGGGACACCTGGAGCTGCACGTAGTCGCTCAGGATCTGTGGGGCAGGGGGCCACGCCCACGGTGGGTGCAAGGCGGCACCCAGAGCACGCTCTGCAGGGCTCAAGGCACGAGGCCGGGGCAGAAGGGCACTGGTGGAGTGGACCTGGCAACCAGRTGGTCTCTGTTCACGGAGCGCCGTCCACCATGCGTGGTGACCTGCACCGCTGGCCGGGACAGCACCTCACAGTGACTGGGCTGGGGCTCGCTTGCYCGAATGAAGCGCAGGTAATGGGGACCAACCTCCTCCCCAGCACGCAGGACAGAGGGACAAGCAGGGGAGGACTCTGCGGCATCGGAGAGACCAGAGGCCCAGAGGGGCACGTGAACAGGACCCGGAGGAAGAGCCACCCGGGAGAGCTTGGGCCTCTCCTCCAGGTTCCCCGCTGGCTCTGGGAGACGTGGCKCAGCTGAAAAGCTGGGCAGGCTCCCTGGGGGCAGGGGTCAAACTGGAGTTCAGGGCCTGCCAAGGGAAGATGGGTGGGCACCTTCCGTCTCAGTTCAGGCYGGGACCCCAAAGGACATCCATGACGAGTAAGCCGGAAACAGAGCAGACCCCGCTGCGCCAGCTCCGACCCCGCCCAGGCTGCGGTGCACCACGCCCTCTGGATGCCAGGGTCGGAAACCATCCCGTGGGCTGCGACACCCCCCCGTGCCCCGTCTCTCTATCTTTGCAACACAATGTCCAGCACTTAATGAAAAATGACCAAATACGTGAGGAGGTAAGAGCGAGCCTGGAACCTGAGAGAGGCACACARACAGGTCCAGGCAACAGGTGGTGAGACTCTGCTGGGGACAGCCCACGACAACCACAGAACTCTGCCAGAGAGACTCATGACCGCCAGGCCTGCATGACTGGCTACGTCCCTTCTCATGAAAAGCCAAGCTACCGTGTTTAAACACTCGTAAGGAAAATCCAGAAAACTCACCAAAGATACTCATAAAGATCATCTCCAGTCACAGGAGGACTAGATTTTAAAACCAACCAACCTTCAACACACGCTTTAAAGAGACACCCCTGAAATATAAGGATGCAGAAAATGCTGAAAGTCAAAGACAGAAAAAGAGATATAAACACCAACCGAAAGAAAGCAGCCGTGTCTGCATGAAACAGACGCAGACCCTGAGATAAAAAACGGACTGTCATGTGATAACAGAGTCAATCTTCCAGGAAGAAAAACAATCCTAAACTTGAATGCACCTGATAACATCACCTGAAAATCTATAAAATTGAGGAAACAGAGAAAAAAATCATAATGATGTAGACTATTTGAACCCCAGTTGGCAAACGTCACCTTGACACATGCAGAACCCTGTGTCTAAGAGCCACRGAGGGCAAGTTCTTTCCCAAGCACACCTGATAGATGTGGTCTGAAATCACACGGCCTCAGCTCTCTGTTGGAAAACAGGCTACAGACACCCCAAATGATGTGCTGGGAGATGCCTCGCGCTTGCCAGCTCAGGAACCCCCACAGGCCTCCAGTGAACCTGGGAGGGCAGCGAGAAGGTGGTTTCACCGAGCACAAGAGTAAAATGACTAACAGCACACTCTGCTCTCCACCGAGGGCCAACTTCAACAATAGAATACTCTGTTTACTTCTGTTCTGGAGAAGTCTCTCTTTCCCTCTCCTTCCCCATCCTTGCTAGCAAAGCTTGGAAGTCAGCAGCCATCAAAATGACTTTGTGTCGGCCCAGGACGGTGCTGTCTGCAGAGCCAGMTGCTCCCGTGCTAGGCGTCTCTGGATTTGAGAGCAGCCTTCAACAATCGCCAGGTAATCCTACTTCACAATGCAGGACAGCTGGGCGCCTGAGCAATCGCCCAGATGGTGTGGCTGCCGGATGGTGACACTGTGTCTGGTCTGCCCCGGGGAGGGGCAGGGACTCTCAGGCACCCCAACTGCTGTGTACACAGAGCTCACGGGGCCTGAGGAAGCCCACAGCCAAGGGCCACCCAGAAACCACCAGGGCAAGCCTGCCATGCCGCAGACTGGCCTCGGAGCGTCCTGGAGCAGCCGCTGGGTGCTCCCCAGGGCCTGCAGGATCCCCGCAGGGCCACCATCCCTGCCACCCACAAGATCCACAGGGAGGCTGGCGGCAGTCCCGGGCAAAACCCCTCAATTTGTSGATGATCTAAAATCACGTAACTGCTCCGGGCACGTGGGCCCTTGGGGCTGTCAGCGCTGTACAGAGCACGTACATTTTTCCTACAGGGACTCCGCTGCCAAGTGACAACTCGCAAGCTCCAATTCATCACCTGGACTGAAAACAGCCAATTTAATTTGTTCCAACAGAGAAACAACCGCAGAAAAAATGCCATCCCCAGGCAGACCGCACTTGCTGGGTTTGGCCCAGAGAGGGCTGCGGAGCAGCCAGGCAGACGAGGAGCCGCAGCTCACGAGGGAAACGCGACGGCGGAGCAAGATCCCTGACGCACGTGAGGCACCTCCACCTGGTCCAAGTGGCCGTGCCAGGAATCGGCGCGGCGCACGCGGGCAGGAGAACCATGGAGGCCTGCTGCCTGGCTCTGGGCCCTGGCCACCTCCACCGCCCACAAACTGATCCGTCGAGGGGTCCTGGCCTGCTGACCTGACAGGGAGCTGGGGGAGGGGATGCTGGGGGAGGGGATGCCGGGCATCCTCACTGTCCCCTGGCCCTCCTTGCAAGCCTGCCACGTGGGAGGGGTCCCAGATGGGTGGCCTGCAGGGCCATGGGTGGGGTCCTGGGCCATCCCAGGGCCCCAGGTGGGAGTGAAGCCAGGCCTACACCACAGCCTGGGCCCTGGTTTGCCCAGTGTGGATGGGAACGTGGCACCGGTGCTTCCCAAGCTCTGTCTCACCACTGACCACTGGGAAAGGAGAACCAGGGTCCCAGGGCCCAGGAGTTAGAGAGACAAGCCCCAGCTCTGTGAGGACACGCTGGGACAGCGCAGGGCACCAGTGCCAGCTCCAGAGGTACTTCCCAGCCTCAGAGCCGCTGCACCTGGCACCCATGATCCTGGGATGGCGGTGCCATGTGTCCCAGTGTGGCCAGGTTAATGCCACAGAAAAAGCTAAGCCAGGCAGCGGCCATGCTGAAGGGGGCTCGGGCTCACATGGTGCAGACCCCTGGCCTCCTGTAGGAAGAGAGCCGGCGTGCCCCCAGCCCCGCCACACGCATTCGCACAGGGACAGGGCACACAGATGCGCACCCACACACAGATGCTCACACATGCACACAGACATGCACACGAGCACACAGAGACTGCAGATAGGATGCAGAGACATGCATACGTGCACACGCACCCACGCACAGCAACACAGGCATGCAGACGTGCACACAGACCACGCAGACAGGCTGACACAGCACGAGGAGGCGCATGTGTGCACGCACATGTCCATACTTGGAGGAAGAGCCTAGAAGACAGAAAGACACGCTGCAGGTCACCAGGGGCCACGCTCAGGCAGGAGTCCCCCTGGGCTGCTCCCCAGTCGGGGCAACTTAGGTCTAGGAAGAGCCACAAAGCYGGCTTCCGAGGAGGGCCTGGGGTGCTCTGGGAGCCTGACCCTGGTCAGCAGGTCCTGAGGTTTATGTGAGAACGCTGGTACCTGTCCCACTGCAGACGTGAGGACAGGAGGAGCAGGTYAGCATCCTGCCTGGGCCCCGCACAGGATGGGAGTACAGCAGCAAATCCTGGACCTGGGCCAYACCTGGGACACCTCAGAACCCAGGGTGAGGGCCAGGTGGGGATTCCTCCCCCCTCAGCCTCCAGCAGAGAGGCCGAGGTCAAAGGGCAGCCTGACGGGGGCCAGGGCCCTGGCCTCCCACACGGAGGCGACCCGCAACTCTCTGAATAAACCTGCTGCTTGGGAGACAGGAGTGGAGCCCCAGGAGTGGGGTGCAGGGGAGTGAACCTTAGAAATGTTTGGGGACATCATCGAAGACCAAAACCATGCAGGGAACGCTGTTGAAATTGGCCGGGCAGGTCCTCGGGAACGGAAGGGCCACAGCGTGTGGGTCTGGCCACAGTAACTGCCAGAACCTGCCGCTCCCACCTGCAGGCGCTCGGCTCCCTGCAGCTCTGAAACTCTGCTCATCTACCCAGAAAGAGGCCCGGTCCGGCGCTGGGACGAGACCAGGCTGCTGTCTGCAAGGCTCCCTGCGTGAGCTGCGTGCCGCCCAGCGCCACCCCGGAGGCCACCTCCTGGCTGCACAGCTTCCCTGTCCTACACAGGGGAGGGAAGGGCTGGGAGGAAACCCCGTGGGAAMCCAAATGGCCGCCTGAGAGAGCCCCTCCTCAGTTAGGTCACTGCTGAGCCCCAAGGTCCCTCTCTCAGGCCCCGGCGACCCTGCAGGTGCCGAGTGGGAGGTGGCCTGCTCACCTGCAGAAGGAACCTGGAGGACAAGCCCGCCGTGGCCTCCATCAGCACRCCGTCCTCCTGGCGGGTCCGGAACATGAGCCCCAGGTACCAGGGAACCGAGATGGTGATGTCCAGGTCACTCCAGGACACAAGGCTCTCTCCAGTGAAGCGCTGGGGATGGGGCATGACTGTGGGCACAGACGGGGACCTCAGGTGCCTCCCCCATCAGGTGGGACACRGAGCACCTCCTTCAGCTGTGGGGAGAGGACAAGCCTGGGCGGGGGTGGCGCTCCTGGGCCTTTCATTCTAACCAGGCCAGTCTCAGGCTAGCCTTTGTGCCAAATCTGGCCCAGTCCAGCAGCAGGTCCTCAGACACCCCGGGGACACAGCCTCCACTGGAGGAGGCCCAGGCTGGCCACACCTCGGCCATGGGTGGGAGCATCCAGGCTGGACCAGAGGCACGGGGCCGAGGTGGCTGGGGACTCCTGTGTCCCGGGACCCACACCTGTGGGGCTGGGTGCAGGGACAGGACAGGGTTCTGTGGTGTCAGAACCTACCAACAGGACGCTGTGCGACGCAGCGTGAGCGTCTGAGCACCCCCCACCTGCGGTGGCCTGACATGGCTGGTGGGTCTGTGGCCCCCAGGCCCCCAGGCTGCTGTCCTCTGCTCCTAGGGGTGGGCAGAGATGGAASAGCCCTGGCTCTCCCGGGACCCTAGCGTGTGGGGACCCATTCGGTGGTTCAAGATGGGGACAAACAGCCTCGTCTTGAAAAACCCTCRGCCAGGCAGACGGGGCCTCCCGCACTGAGCGCCCATTTTCTGCAGTGGGCCTGAGGGCACKGGCCAGCCCAGGAGCGCTGACCTCCATGCCCAGCCCTGATGGATGTGGGCAGGCCAGGAGCGGGTGCCACCTCGCACTGTGGGGTTGGGAGCTGTGGGTGGCGGTAGCGCAGGGCATCTCCGAACCTTCTACTGCTGGGGAGCACTGGGGATCTGAGTGGGGGGCAGGGGGTCACACCACCCTTTTGGTTCACCTTCTTGAGGAGTGGAAGTGATCTGTAAAGTGAGGGCACCCACTTAAAGGCCCCGCWGCAGAACAAGCTAACTGCTTAAAATCCGCCAGCGTCTGCGCATGGAGGCGGGGGGGGGGGGCATCAGCAGTAGCAGGCTGGAGGGTGTCCCCAGGGAAGGGCACCGCACGGCCTCCTGCCCTCACGCGGACCTGGTAGGAGCAGGCAGGGCACCCYGCATGCTGGGCCCAGCCCCCGGGCTCCAGCCTCACCTGCTCAGCCCCCCAGCCGGGCTCACAGCCGTGTGGCTCCCCGGGGCGGCCCTGGCAGGGGATGCGGGCAGAGCCAGACCTCACCTTGCTCACAGTTCTTCCCGCCATAGCGGAGCGGACACTGGCACAGGTAGGTGCTCCACCTGTTGACACAGGTGCCCCCGTTCTGGCACCAGATCCCGTCACAGAAGTCCCTCTGAGCAGCACAGCCTGTCGACGTGGAGCACATGGCCTGGCCTCAGCAGGCACCGGAGCAGAGCCTCACCCGAGGGGCCAGCTGGTCCCCGACTGAGCCAGGCCAGGTCCTGGCCGTGGAGAGCTCAGCCCATGTCCAGCCACGTACCTGCCCTGGTGCCGTTGTTGGCGATGAACCCAGCCATGTCCACGCTGCTGCCATCGATGGACAGGTTCTGCATGCAGCCCACGAACTGCCGGTTGTGCACAGGGAAGGCCTCGGGCAGGTTGGGGACGCCCCCCAGCAGCAGGGGGCCCGTCAGGTCCAGAGACCTGGGGAGGGAGAGCCGTCGTCCTCTGTGACGTCGGGCAGTGAGAGCGGCCACAGCCCCGGCTCTGCTCAGAGATCTCTCAMTGCCATCTCTGCCTCCAGAAGTGCGTCCATGGTGGACAGAGCAGGTAGGAGTCCAGGAGGGGACCAAGGTGAGAAYGGAAGGAGGACCCTGCTTCTGGGGTCACCCTGGCTCTTCACGGACTCTCTGGGCCTGTTCCCCCTCAATCTCACCCTGGAAAACYGGCCGTCCCAGGCTCACCATGACCAACCACTGAGTCCATGTGCCTGGGCAGGTCCTCTCCTCCAGTGGAAGGTGGACCAGTGAGGCCAAGGGGCTTTATGTCCCCTGCCCCAAGACCCTCCAGGAAAGGTCAAAAGAAAAACGGAACCCAGCCCCCATGGCAAAGGTGTGCCCTCGGGCCAGGGCTCAGACCTCCAGGGACAGTGGGGTGGGGCCTGGGGACAGATGGTCATCCTGGGCCCGCATCAGTCAGAACCTCAGGCCACACCAGGTTCAACTGAATGGACCTCCAGAGGTCCCAAGGTCCACTGCACAYGGTGAGCCACAGGCCCAGCAGGGGCCTGCTCGCCTGTGGGGACCCAGTCCTGAGTTGGAGGGAGACCCACAGGAGATCCGGCCACTTCCCACGAATGGCAGCTTGGTGTCCAGACCCCAGTGCCGCCAGGACAAAGCCAGGGATCCCATGGAGACGGGGCAGGGGGGCCTCTGGGTAACAGTCCTGGATTGCCCTGGACACTCTCTTGACAGATGCCACTGAGGGGACTCGTGCCCTATCCAGGGGCAGGCTAAGGCCAGGGGCCCCGGGTGGTCCAGCGTTTGCAGCAGTGGCCGGGGCACAGCCGCCCGGTGCCCCCAGGACTCACTTCTTGGAGCCACTCTGAGTGCCCTGGGCAGCGCAGCTGTAGTTCCCCACGTAGCTCCCGAAGTGCACAGCCACCGCGGTGTCACAGCTGTCCACGGTCACCACGGCCACCTTCTCTCCAGATGGCCCGTGGGGCAGGCCCAGGTGGCCGATGTTGGGCTGTAGGAAGAGAAGGGCGGACTGCATCAGCGCCACCACCCAGCGGGTCCCTGCCCGGCAGCACCCGGGAGGGAGGAGGCTGGAGAGCCCGGTGGGCACCCAGGCACCAGGGCCAGCGCCTGGTTTGGGGTGAGTTCCCTGAACCTGCTGCACAGGTGTGGGGGCCCCAGAGTTCACACCCTCCCCAGAGCCTGGGGGTGAGGCCTTGGGAGCAGGGCTGCTGCCCTAGATGAGCCCGCGGCAGGACACAGCAAGACGGCTGGTGTCTGCAGGGGTCATCGGGCAGCGGAGGCACAGGCTGCAGGGACTGGCTGTGGCCAGGGCATGCCACGGCCTGACGGCCTCCCCGACAGCTGAAGAGAAGGGATGGCCCGTGGAGGCTCCAGGGACACAGCCCTGTCCCCAGCCATCTGCCTGCAACTCCCCAGTGAGGGAGGGTCAACTGTGGGCCCAGGTCGCAGCCTCCGCCAGGCCTGGGGACCCTCCTAACCCCTGCCTCTGCTCTTCTGGGGACCTTCTTGGCACTGGGCCCCTCGCAGGCCCTGCCCACCCCACCCACCTCACAGGGCACAGATCCCAGGAGCCGCGGCCTGCCTGAGATGGCCCGTGTCCCCACACAGCACGGAGCCCTGTCCAGGCCAGGAGCCTGTCCAGGCCAGAACCTGCGCTTTCCATGCCCCCTTCAAGGCCAGGAGTCGACCCCCGGGCCCCAGAGCAAGCCCTGGTCTCCGGTGGCYTCCCTGAGGTCCTGCCCGTGGGTGGTGAGGCTGTGCCCTTGTCCAGGGCTGTGCCTGGCCACAGGGGAAGGCGTCCTCTTCCCAGCAGCCCTCTCAGCTGTCCCGCACGGTGGCCCTCTCAGGACACCCAGGGTCCACCCAGGCGGCCCAGGGTCCTCCCCACAGGAGACGCAGAGCGCCACAGGGTCATGCGGCTCTCAGTGTCCTAGAAACGTGGGGCAGCAGGAGGCGGAGGCCACGCCTGCCACCTGGACGCCAAGACCCGCATCCCACGACGTCCGCGAGGTGCACCCAGGCCTCCTGGACGGCCACCCCGACCCTGGAGAGGGGGTCAGCGTGGGCGCCCACAGCTCCGTCCTCCCGGCAGGGAGCCACAACGTCCTTCCCCACCCACAGAGTGATGTGCCCTCAGCCGGGGGACACGCGCCTGGAGTCCAGCACTCGAGAGGTGGAGGTGGGAGATGGCTGGGGCCCAGGGGTCTGAGGGCAGCCGGGCAGCACAGGGAGACCCCTTCTCAAAAGTGAAAAATTCAAAAAAAAGAGAAGGCCCTTAACATCCCTGGGATGGGGTTGAGCCTCTAACAGGGTCTGATCTTGTGCTTCTTCCTAGTTTTGTTGTWAACATGACAGAAACGATGTGATTAAACCATCCTAAATGCCTTTTTAATAAGGGAACAACAGCATAGTTCCTTCAAAAATAAACCTCATTTTTTCCCCAAAGGAACAAAGCATCCCTTTGAGGATGCTGAGCTGCAAGACAGTTGCTGGTACCAGGAGCCCAGGCAGGTGTGGGGTCTGGCTGCGGGGGCTTTGTTCACCCTGGCAGCATCTCCTGGAGTTATGCAGTGCACAGCCTACGTGGCCGTACTTGGCCTCCCCAGCTGAGCCTTCCTCTCCAGTTCATCCAATCATCTGAGCTGAGTAAGGCCCACTATTGTTCCTGGGTCTCTCTGTGGACCGGATAAGGACTTACTATCAGAATACTGGCCCTCTTTGTGTTACAGGGACTTTGAGGGTGATGTCAACAGAAGATACATGAACATCTTGGGTAAATCCAGGAGAGGCTTTTGATGCCAACCGTCCTGGTTCAGGGAAACCCTTTACACCAGTTGATGGAATCGCCAGGTCCACTAACCCATTTCCTGGGAGAATCTGCCCTCGCCGGGTAACCCAGGGCTGCCCTGGCAGACACCAGCAAGTGCCCATCAGGGCTGTGTAAGTGGTAGGTGCCGTCGGGGAGGGAGAGCCGTCCGAGCTGGGTGGGCCGGCGTCATCTCTGCGGCGTATAATTTGAGTTTCTGGGGTGGGTGCGAGACGTTTGGAGCAGGACATAAACAGCACTTACGCTYGGAAGGCCCTAATGAGACGAAGCTGCTGTTTACCAAACTGCAGCTGCGGCAGACGGCRGCCCGTAATCAGCTCCCCGGGCTCGCACAGGCCGCGAGGGAAAAGAAAATTGGGGCAGAAGACCAATAAAATTACACGTCCGCGTCAGCACAGCCCCTGCTGACGTGGGCACCTGCTGCTGACACCAGACTCCAGCGTCTGCGGTCTGCGCAGCGGAGGGCTCGCGGCTRCAGGAGGCCGCCTGAGAGCCGCCGCCCGCCCACCCGCACGGCTTGATGCCCCCCAGGCCGAAGGGATGGGGCTTGTGGTCAAAGAACTGGGCGCTAGCGGTCAAGAGCGGGAAGGCCCAGCACAAGGGCCGTCGTGGGCTGAGGGCAGAGGGATCCTTGGGGTCTGGGGCCTGGCCCCGGCTCCACAGAGCGGCAAGCTGGCGTCCACTGGCCAGCCCTCCTCATGCTGCCCCAGGACAGCAGCTGGGGATAGCAATCCAAACGCCCCATTTYGGCAACTCTGTCCAGCAACGTGTGGTCAGTGAGCACAGAGGGCAAGGTGGCGGGAAGCCATGGGATGGATGACCCGGGACCACACGGGGCTGCTCACGGCTGACCTGGACCATGGTCAGTCCCAGGTCCACACCAGGGAGCTGGAAAGAGAACCAGGCCCACACTGTCCTCAGCAGCACCGAACCCGCAGGCCCCTCAGCAGGTGCCCAGCCACACAGGGTCACTTGGTCAGCAGCGGAACAGAGCCCCAGCACACGGTACGGCATGGACCACCCTCGGGATGGTGCTGGGTGAAAGGGGCCATCTCACGGCCACAGGCCCAAGACTCCACCTCCCCGAAACGCCCCGGGGGGGACACGCCCAGAGGTCGAGGCCAGCTGAGGGGGCAGGGCCCAGGGGCCAGCGTGTCCTGCCAGGGTGGAGGGCCTATCCTGGACCTCAGGAGAGGAGCTGCCGTCCCACGCGCCCAGAGCCACCTAAAAGCAGATCCTCTGTGATGGGCCTCGACTCAACAGGGAAGAGAGGCTCCTGGACAGGCCTCCTGCCCTCACAGCCCCCTGGTCACTGGACCTGGATGACCTTGGAAGGATCTGTCCCCATGTTTTCCTGTGACATATGATAAGGCACGTCAAGTGGCCTCCCTGTCTAGGCTGCTCACTGTGAGGGGGGACATCCCCTGTGAGGGTTGTAGTGTGTGGACGATGTGCAGGCGGCTCGCAGGGACAGAGGCAGAAGCACGGGGCGGCTGCCTCTGTCTAAGGGACGCGGCTCGATGGCAGAGCACTGGTCTGGCATGTGTGCGTGTGTGCGTGAGGCCTGGCTCAGACTCCAGGACACGATGACGAGAACAAACCAGTTCTCAACAACAAAGGCGAGCCAAGGAGAGTGGCCGCTGGCCAGCCGCTGGAGGGACACCGAGGGGCGGCACCAGGCTGTGGCCCACGGTCCCCCAGCAGTCCAGCCAGAGCACGCTGGGTGGCGCACGGGCCCACGGGCCCCTGCCCAGGATGGGGGACAGAGAAAAGCCAAGAAGCACTGCTTTGCAGCTCTCCCAAGACGAGAGGACGGGGCGAGCCGAGCCAGGGCCAAGGGCGACCCTTCCCTTTCCCAGTTCTGGAGTGGGAGGGCACCAGGCGGGCACAGGGCAGGCACAGGGCAGGCACAGGCACCTGCCCTCCTGGGGCTCAGCAACCCCACCCAGGCACAAGCTACCCTGCAGGGAGCCCCGGGCCTCACACAGGGGACAGCCGCCCCGAGGCCCTGTCGATGCTCAGGGCTGGACAAAACAGGAGCAGCACACAGACAGAGGTGGGGGCAGCCGAGGAGGGGCACCTGGAGCAGCGCGCCCTGGCACCCAGGCCCCTTGGCACCTAGGCCCCCTGGCACCCAGGCCCCTTGGCCCGCTGCCCTGCCTGGCACAGGACCCCCGAGCACGCCTCACAGGGCCAGTGGAGACAGGCCAGCGAGCACTGACCACAATGCCGAGGGCCACTGTGCACTTTGGCAGGTCCCCGAGGGCCAGGCTGCAGCAGGACTTCTGGTGCGGGTGCGTCCCTGGGGCCGCCTGTCACCTTCCCCGTGTGGGCCTCCYGTTGGCGCCCATGCAGGCGCCCCAGCAGCCTCGGCGAGCTTTTGTGTCCTCTCCAAGGGCTCGCGTTTCCGCAACCTCCAACCCGCTGCGGCAGATCCCACTTCAGGAGGTGGGGGTGGGCACGGTTTCAGTGCGGGGAGGGGCCTGGGTGCCCGGGAAATCAGCGAGCCTGGGAGTAAGTGGATGCTGGCTTGCTGTCGGGGTGATGGGCTGGCGCTCCCATCACAGGACGCGCAGCTGGGGACGTGAGGCACGGCCGCTGGGAGCGAAGCCTGGCACTGTACCTACTGGGCCGTCATTCCCTGAGGGTGGACCGGCAGAGGGTGGACSGGCTAGAGACCACACCCTGGGAAGGGGCAAGAGCCCGCGCCAGCCCTGGACCAGGGTACCAGGCTCCAGAGGCAGCTGGGGCGATGGGAGCTGGTCAGCTGGCCCAAGGAGGAAGCCCTTCCTGAGGCCTGCAGGACCCACCCCCGGCCCAGCCGGCCTTCGCTGGACCACAGACACAGGGCCAGGAGGCCTGGCCAGGGACCCACGCTGGGTCAGTGTCCTCGCCAGGCAGGAGGCCCACCCCAGACCCCACGTGACAGGGGCAGAGGAGAGGGAGGGCCAGACACCCAGGTGTGTCCGACATGACGTCCCGTCACCCCACATGGTGCTCCTGGGTCTTCTAGAGGCTTCCTTGATATTCCTTGTGTCTCTTGGTCTCCCCACCAGAATACAAGACCCCACAGTTAGGACGTCACCTGCTCCCATCACAGAATTCCCAGGGATGGGCTGGGCTGGCAGAGCCAGGGTGGGATGAACAGGTACCAGCCCTCG